CCGGCAATTACAACCAGCCTCATCAGGCGACAACTCTGATGAGGCTGCTTGTAATTACCAGTAATCTAACCCCCCAAAAAAACACTCTTATTACGGATAATATTGGGTCGTGAAAGCCTACTCCTCGGATATTTGTACCGTTACCGAACGTAAACATATTTGCATAAGCAATAACCGCTGAAGCCAGATTTTGTGAGATATTAATTGGAAGTCCCGTTGCGGAATTGGATGCTATGGAGAGATGTTGTGCGGTGGCTTTTGGATGAGACAATACTGAATATACTGGGCATTCAATAGACGCCCCTGGCTATTCAATACGTCAAGACTATTCAAGTCGATTCTTCCGTCACATTTGTTCTTTCTCGTTTGTTCCAGTCTCGTTTGTTACATTAGCCAAAGGGTAACATTTGCGTATAATTCGTGATTTTATGTGAAGGTGTAGTGAGCGCAAGAATAGATTTTAAAACTATAACATTTAACATACTAGGCGATGCCCACTGAGCTGTTAGCTCTTGTTCAGAGGCAACTTGGCCACAGATGGTTTACACAATAAAAATGTGGGAGTTTATAATAGCAGCCAAATAATCCAAGTGAGTGTTTTCTAAATGTGGGGGGGGGGGCAAAACTGGAGGAGCACGGAGAAGAATCCACACGGACCCCAATTGGAGGCAGATTCAGGGATCCTGGTTCGAATCTACGACCTCCTGCGTACCAGGCGAGGGACATGATATCTCTCCCCCCGCCCCGCTAAGCCACATTTTTAACAAGTCTAACCCTTGGTTACACGCCTCAAATGGAGTAGGCTGCAACCAAATAGACCTAAAGTTAAGCTAAGCAGGCTGGGGACTGGATAATAATTGTCTGGGTGGCATTACGAGGGCTCCCCGCACGTATTGTAGGCGTGAGGCTGCGAGGTGGCCAGCCAATGGCAGTGTTGAATCATCTCCCCCTGCCACGAGTATGAGTGGAATTTTTCTCCGCGTGATCTCGGGTTACTGCCCACACAAAGCCAAACAATCATTTTATGGAAATGCAAAACTTCCCAATGCGGAACCCTCCAGAAAATTGAGTTTTGATGATTTATTAATGAATGCAAATTAGATATTTATGCGATTTGCATGAATAAATTAAACTTTTTAAGTACCACGTAAGGGCCCACAGAGCTCTTTTTCAGAAGCGACCTGGCCACAAATGATAGCTCAACGAACATGGTTTATCGTCTGGATATTTGAAGCAGCCAAATACTCTAAACGTGTGATGTTGATTCGAAATGTGGAAGGAAAAACCGGAGGACCCAGAGAAAAATCCACGCAACCACGGGGAGAGAGACACGCAAACTCCAAATATATAGCAGGTGTCAGGGTCGGAATCGAACCCACGACCTCCTGTATACCAGGCGAGGTAGTTAACATCTCACCACCATGGAGTCCACTGTTTTGTTTTTGACTTGCAGATGGAAACAGTGCGGGGGCTTTAAAGAGAAAAAATATAGTTTTGGAAAAACAGTTGGCACATCAACAAATGTTCATCAACAAACATGAGACACCAAAGAAAATTATTTATAAACAATAGTTTAAATGTTTGAGTACCAATGGGGAAAGTGCAGTAACAACAATCTTCTGCCAGTCGTCCATTTTTGATCGGCAGTCACTGCCCAGTTTAACTTTCGATCAGCATGCCCACCGGTCGCGAAATTAAAACGCAACGTTGTTCACGATGACAGTGAAGTATTTTCAGCCTATACCCGTGAACTACTGGCAATGGAATTGGCCAAAGAATTGTATAAAGGGAATCAAGATGCATTTGCTGACCAGCAACAGGCTTGCGATTGGCTCATCACGATCACATGGTCACGACAAAATGGCGGTTCTTGCACATGTCAAGCGGAAAAAGGGAACCGCTTTGCGCCAAAAAACAAAATGCACAAAAATGTTACAAATACACCGTCGGCAAAACAAGCATTTATTCTCATTACAACATCGGTCACCTTTAATTAAAATAAACAGTTTGCACGTGACCTGTACAGCGGAGGGAAAGAAGGATAATTACCCCTGCGGTGGTACAGGATTTTTACTGGGGTGGAAACAACTATGCGAGGCCCCTTTTGCCTGTCAAGGCCTCGCACTAGGCCACTAAGGCAATCTCCCACGCCACTGCTAGGTCCACACCTCTCTGCAACTTTGCTGCAGTACAGGGAGAGAGAGAGAAAAAAAGAAATCAGTTTCAAGCACATGTTCTGCCTCCCTGGTGTTCCGAGGCCTTCATGAGAGATTCTAATAGTGCGCAAAAAAAACCGTTATCTCATCACAAGTGGGCTTCCCCGAACCAATAAAGCAAGCCACGGAGTTTCCCCGTCAACAGTCTTCCACATTTGCATTTTGTGTTAAACATGCATGCGCTGATTACACCACCACTAAATAATGTCAACTGTGGTATTGTTAGGGTCTTGTCTCGAGGCGAAGATGTCGATCAGGAACTCTTTCACTTTCATCATGTTGTTTGTGCCCCTTGAGAAAGTGCCACCTTCTGAATTCAACGAGCCACTTAACTAGGCCACCTTCAACCGCCACAAGATGACACTGTTCGATGCTCTGTAGACATCGGATTAACCTTTGGGCAACAAGGCAGAGGCCATCAAATGTTCTACTCTTAAGACACGAATCTTAAGAAGTTGTGAATTTCAAATCGAGCGTGGCTCGGGGTCTTAGTTTCATGCACAGTGCTCCCGCAATGCCCGTAGACACTGTTCGAAGTGGCACCCGCGAAGAGATGGAGAGCCCCCAGCCACCCTCATCAGTCTCGTCCATTTACGAAGCGCTACTTGCAAAAAGTTGGCTTTGCCCGACTGGCTCGTGAAAGCCCACCTGTGCACCAGAGAATGCTTGCGCATAATTGGCCACACTGTCGCCAATTAACACACTTCACTCTTGCTAAGCAGTAAAAGGATTTGGGTGGGGGAGGGGTAGGAAGGCGCAACTACACCTGACCAATCAAAATGTACACCACGGACAACTATTGTTGATATCTCACAAGTATTAAACACGGAGCCTTCTACAAAGGCATTTAGAGTGTATTTAACTATATTACAAGTCAACGTGTACCATTTGCTCATCGATATTTTTTTTCCTGTCTTGCTCTGGGCTTGTGTCTTACGGAGCCTTTTATTGATTTTAAGAGTTCAGTGTTTTTTTTAATCACTAAAATTATATTCAAGAGGTTACAAACACTTTTTTTTTATATACTAAAATTGCACCATGGATTCCGAGAGCTTTCGCTCAGAAGCGTACGGTCGTAGTGGTTGCTGGCAAGGAAGATAGCAAATAGACAGGCCCTGTACGATTTCTTACTGTGGTCATTCCTTCATCGTCACAAGAGTTATTTGAAATCGGATAAACATCCCAATGCGGAGAGAGTCCGCCTGAAAAGCACCGAGACCGAATAAATCTATCCTGGGGGAAGAAAAAAAAAAAGGACATCATAATGTCACCGTGACGAGAGAGTGGTTCCAGATAATTGACAAAACTTCTTCTGAAGTCACTTTAAAATGGGCCCTCGGTCCAGACTTAAAAACTGCGCTCCCGTTATTCCCCGCAAGCAGCGCTCGTCACGTAAGACGCGAAAGTGTTTCTCATGTTAGGAACACATTTAAAAATAGTTTAATGACATTAAATCTATATTTAATATGAACGGGGAGTTGTTTCTTTTTTAGCAGCCATCGGTCACCGGGCTAAGAGCCATCGACCCCACTGGAATTGAGAACCTTGTGTAACCACGGGTGGCCGATATCCGAGGTTCAAACCCAGGATCTTTGTGGTGTCGGCTCAGTTTGCTCTGACGCAGCCATCGCAAGCTAAAAACACTGAACTCCGTGCAAAAAGCATAAGTCACACACACAAAAAAAAACTCCCTAGTGTATGCCATCAGTGCCCCAAAGTCCTGAAGACTTTTGCGATGACATAAGCCCAATACAGGAAGAACCCACACACGCAGATAAATGTACATCATGTAGTGTTGGGGAGTAACATATTACAAAGCATCTTTACAATCAAATTAACTTAATCCTCTGCCAGGGTTTTGTACAGGATTGGTGCATCATTTTCTTTGCAAAACACAAAAACAAAAAATGGAGGGTTACATTATTTAGTGGATTCGAATATTTTGAGTAATCGGCGACCGGACAGCGGATTCGTCTTGACCAATATTAGACTTCCCCAACACTGCCAACGCAAGAATCACAACGCACAGCAAAAGATCACACGGCGGAGGAGCAGTCAAACGGCTCCTCCGCCAGCGAAAGGCGCCGCGCGCAAACCTCCCAGAGCCATATCGCCCCAGATAAAAATAAAAAGATACATTTTTTTGTTCTTCAGTCGTCGTCGCGGTCCTTACGATTGTCCGCTTGAGAAGCTCTACACAGCAAAAAAAAAAACACCGCCCCCCCCCCCCCCCGCCACCGCCGTTCGAGAGGACGCGTGTGCGCCGTGCGTCGCGAGCGAAGGTTTAAGAACAAAAAACAATCGTTGACAAAGATAAACTTAGATCGTACCCGCCAGTGTGTCCCCCCCCCACCCGCCCCCCACATTTGCTGGTTCAGTGTCCGAAGTCCACCGTTTGACGCACACGAGTACCGCCACGGTTTTTGTTTCAACGGCGAGAAGGTATCTTCCCCCCCCCTCCCTTCCTCCCGGCTTCTTTTTTATTCCTGTGTGTGTGTTTAAGTTTGTTGTCCTTCCCCCTCCACCCGCCCGCCCGCACCTCTGATGAGCCGCGGTTTGGCTACGTGCGGTGCGAACGAAGTTCAACGCACCTACGCCGCCGCGACGCGGGGAATTTTAACCGACACAAGACAAAATGGCGACCGGCCAAGTTCGCGCGCGCTCCCCAAATATTACACAGGGGTATTTATATAAATATATATTTTTTCCCACGGCTATCTGATTGAAGAGAAGTCTTTTGGCCTTGATAACAATTTGTATTTTTTTTTTGTTCTTTCCCTACACCCCCCCCCCCCCCCGATCCCACCCCCGAATGTGGCGGACTGGATTTTTTGTTGCTGTAAATAGCCATTAAAACCGTGAAGCGTGCGTTGCTGACTTGGGACGTGGGTCGTGGGTCATGGGTCATGGGTCTCCCCTCCCTCGCCCCCCCCCCTCGTGTTTGTTGTTGTGGTGGCCGCGAAATGACGACGGTGGGTTTTTGTCCTTGCTACGTCTACACGCCTCTCTTATTTTCAGCAAAACACCGACCTTGCTGCTGTAGCTTCTGCTAAATTCCTTCTGGCGCGAAAGCAACAACGACGCTTTGCTCCTGGCACAAAAATAGAACATCTCCTTACGTCCACCGCGGGGTTTTCCGAAAATTTCAAACGGCCGTGGGGGCCTCAGCGCGGGTTTTGTTTGTTTGTTGTTCCTTCGAAGTTTGCTTTTTCGTTCTTACATCACGGAACTTTTGTTCATTTGAAATGACTACCTACGCAAGCGACTAGGCCGGCCAATTACAATCACAGGGTGGCCCCTGTGAAGGTATCGTCGGTTAAACGTCGTCAGTTTTAAGGCGACAGCTCGAAATGGTTGACCGAGACGTTGGCGGCGTCGTATTCCTCCGATGCACGAGGTGCTTTTATGATGACTCAGGTGGTCAGAGGAGCATCCCTCCCAACAACAGGGCAACCCTCACACGAGAGAAAGCCGGGGCTAGCGTCGTTTTGCACGCAAAACGTCGTTGTCTGCGTGGAACGAGACCGCCAGAGGTCGCCCCGAAGATAACGCCGGCTGTGATCGCGGGGCCATTTGTGCCGCGCTCGTAACTAACAAAAGAAACAAAAACCCAACACGGCGAGCATCGATGCGGAATGTGCACGCTGGCAGCCCTTCCACATCGGGGGAAACCGCCTGAGGGTGTCGGAGCATTCCGTGAAGCGTGCTCCTGACAAAACAGAAAAGGATTACCTGGGGGTCTTCGCACGGGAAGTTTCTCAAACCTCGATAGCGGCGTGCGGCGTCGACGTTCAGACGGGAAGCGGCAAAACGGCAACGTTTTCATGCCCCTACCGAACGCGCGCGGAGTCTAATCAACCTGGCTCTGTCCAAAGAATTGCAATCCTTTTAAACGACGGACGACACCTTCACGGGGGACACCCCCGCGTATTATTTTCGTTCCGCTCCTCCTTCGAAGAGGTCGAAGTGACACCCGCGTCCCCCCCCCCGCCGCCCGCCACCCCCCCCCTCTCTACAAGTTGGTGTTGACGCCCATGCCGAGGCCGCAGCCACCGCCGGCGCCCCCTCCTCCTTCCCTGGCGAGAGGTCGCACAAACGCCTCGCGCTTCACCGGCGGCGGGGGCTCGTCCGGTTCGTACGGCAGCATGTAGTCGTCCGCCCGACTGCCCGCCGCGCTCAGGGGCAGCAGGTAGTCGCCCCGCCCGACGCCGCCGAGCGGCCCCCCGGCGGCCGCGTCGTAGCGGCCGTCCCCTCCGCCCGCCGGGAGGAAGGAGTCGCCGCGGGCCCCGAGGGCGCCCTCGTCGCGGTCGAGCGGCAGCATGTAGTCGTCGCTGTCCGCCGCGCCCCTGCCGTTCTCCGCCGGGAAGTAGCCCGGCGGCTTCAGCGGCCCATTGGGCGGTACCGCCGCCCCGCCGCCTCCGACGAGGACGATGCCGCCCGCATCAGTTCTTCTCCGCCTGCGGCCGGAGCCTGGGCCCTCGGGGGGCGACGGTTGGGCCCGAGGAGGAGTCGCCACCGCGGCCGCCGCCGCCGCCGTTGCGCAGGTTGGGCAAGCTGGCGCAGAGCGACGCCTCGTGGCCAGGGGACTGCAGCTCGGCCACCTGGCGCGGCGTGAGCAGGGGGAAGTACGCGGCCGGAGGAGGAGGGTGGACGTCCTCCCTGGTGGCGATCGCCGCCGCCGGTGGCGGCGGCGGCGGAGGCGGCAGAGGGGATGCCCGCGCCAGCGAGTGCGTCCGCCGCGGCAGCAGCGGAGCACCCGAGTCGGGGCACCGCGGGTGAGCTGCCTCGCACGGGACCCGGATCAGGCTGCCACCGCCGCAACCGCCGCCGCCTCCGCAACCGCCAACGTCGACGTCGCCCTCATCGGCTCGCTTGTTTTTCCTCAACTTCAGCTTCCGTTCCTCCTCCAACGCCTCCACGTCATATTCCTCGTCCTCGGCAATGTCCTCTTCCTCGTCCACCTCGTCCTCCTCCTCTTCCTCCTCCTCCTCTTCCTCCTCAACGTCGTCGTCGTCCTCCTCCTCCTCCCCGTCGCCGTCCGCTATGATCACAATCCCGCTGCCCGCCCCCCGCGCCATCTGCTGCACGGCCGTCAGGTTGCGCAGAAGCTCGTCCTGCTTGCCCACGTACACCAGGTGGCGCTTGCTGGGGGTGAGGCTGCCGAACAGGCGGTCCACTTCGCCGCGGGGCAGCAGGAGGGGCGGCGCCGTCGCCTGCAGCTGCTGCTGCTGTTGGTGCAGCTGCTGTTGAGGAGGCGACAGGGGCAACGTCGGCCCCAGGTAGGCGGGGGGTCCCGCCGCGTTGCCTCCGCTGCCGTCGTCGTCGTCGTAGCCGCTCAAGCCTAGGCCCAGGCCGAGGCCTTCCGAGTCGGCCAGGAAGACGAGGCCGTTAGCCCGAGGTGCCGAGGCGTCCGGCGCTCCCAGCTTGGCGTCGCTGTCCGGCGCCATGAAGTCGCGGCTGCTCAGGTGGAAGTGGCTGCCGCTGGAGGCGACGGCGCGCTGCTGGTGCTTGGCGCTGTTGCGTGGTGCCGTTGCCAGGGCGCCAGCGTCTCGCGGGCCGATCGCCAGATGCTCTGCGGGGAGGAATCAAATAAAAAGGGTATTTGGCTGCTGCTATGAGTCAATTTAACACATAGGCTTTCGCAACCAATATTATTCATGATATAGGTTTTTGGGTGAGATCGCGTTAATTATAAATGTGTCGTAACCCTCCACCACCCGACACGGCCAAACAGTAAGAAATGTGTCACGTTTTCAAAGGACAAAATTATGCACTTCTTATAATAGTAGGTTTTTACCCTTTTAAACTGGTACAAAACTGACACGTTTATTCAAGGCATCATGTTTGCAATAACCACAACACAAGTAGTCAAAAAAGCAAACAAAAAGAAGCAACTCTGATCATGATAATAATTATGCACTGTCCTTGAAGTTGATTGGTCCACACCCGAGACGGCTTTCTTTAGAGCCTAGTCCCCATTGGTGTTGGACCAGATGACACCAGAAGGCGTACAACTCAAACACAGTGCAATATCAGAGTATTGAGAGCTCGGGTAAGCATTTACACTATGAGATCTCTTTTACCAGTGGCAAAATATAATAGTAGGTTTTTATTGAGAGCTTGGGGTGCTTACCCCGAGCTCTCAATACTCAATACTCTGATATTTCACTGTGTTTGAGTTGTATGCCTTCTGGTGTCATCTGGTCCAACACCAATGGGGACTAGGCTCAAAGAAAGCCGTCTCGGGTGTGGACCAAACAACTTCAAGGACAGTGCATATTATTATCATGATCAGAGTTGCTTCTTTTTGTTTGCTTTTTTGACTACTTGTGTTGTGGTTATTGCAAACATGATGCCTTGAATAAAGGTGTCAGTTTTGTACCAGTTTAAAAGGGTAAAAACCTACTATTATATTTTGCCACTGGTAAAAGAGATCTCATAGTGTGCACTTCTTTTTAGCCCACCGGTATGCTGAAGAGGATCAACAGCATTATAAAAAAATTTGTACAATCAGCTGATTGTAATTATCAGCGAAACGTCGTACTACTCAAATTTTTTAAATGCTGTTGATCCTCTAATAAGAAGTGAATAATTTTGTCCTTTGAAAACGTGACACGTTTTTTAAATCCTTTATATTAAGTTCACTTGCTTGCGCGCTTACGACCGTGCAAATCTTTTGGGCGTTTTTTAACCCACTTCCCGTGATCCAATCGAGCTGACATTTTGCACACAGACTCGTTGTGCGTGACAATTTATTTTTTTTAGTAAAATTTTTTTTTCATATTTAATTTAAAATACCAATGTGATAAAAATGAAACTCTTACTCAAGAAAAACAGAAATGAATAATAAAATAAAACCGATGCCACGCATAAAAAAGATTTATAGTGAAAAACTTTGTTTTTACGGGTACATTTTTTACTGTTTGGCCGTGTCGGGTGGTGGAGGGTTACGACACATTTATAAATAACGCGATCTGACCCAAAAACCTATATTATGAATGCTGCTATAAGTGTCTACGTGATAGGCGATAAGCCACTTCGTTGAACTACCACTGGTGATTGCCAGGTCGCTTCTGAAATGAGCTATACAGCTCAGTGGGCCTTACCTGGTAAAATAAATCTAATTAATTTTATTGTATTTTCTACCCACGTGACTTTACCGAAAGAACCAAAGAGCATGGATTCCTGCAGTCGCGAAAGCTTCAAATCAAGATATTTAGTTTATCTTCTTGGTTCTTTTGGTAAAGTCACGCTGTCGAGGCGACAGCGTCTAAATTTTAGACGCTGTCGCCTCGACAGACCTGGTCTTCACCTGAGGACGGCTGCTTGCGTTGTGGCCGAAACGTCGTGAGAATTATTTTATTATGTTTTATTTTTATTATTTTATTACTTCCCTTCTACGTGACTTTACCGAAAGAACCAAGAAGATGAATCCTTGCAGTCACGAAAGCTTTAAATCAAGATATTTAGTTTAGTTTCTGACATTAACACTAAAGCTAACTCCGGTCGAATACTAACTCTAACCCCCAACACTAAACGTTACTTTAACCATAACCCTAACCAACTCTTAACACTAACTATAACTCGAACCCTAATCCTAAACGCCAACCATAACACCCTAACTCGAGCCCTGACTTGAACTCTGACCCTGCCTGAACCTTTTTTAGTCTTAGCAATACACCCAAACCTCTGCAACAACTAACAACAAAATCGCTGCCAAGTCACTGGGTAAGACGATCGCAAATTCTGTTGGGAATGTAATCCACATTTATAACGTGAACCTCGCTCTCCGTTGCACACGCGTCATCCACGAATACGAAGTTATTATCAAAGTAAAGCTCTTGAGCTCTCTCCGTCGCTCCCTTGACCACACGTGGAAATTCACGTCGCCAGCGCGCTTAGTTTTATCGTAATTTTTTTGGAAATCCAGGTTTAAAAAAGAATAATTTCACGCAATATCAAAAACGGGGGGAGGGGGGGGGGCGGAAGCGTGCGAGCGCCATCTTGAGAAGGCGCGCGGGATCGGTGTGGGATGCGTCAAGCACGAACCACTAAGGACACGGGTATATCGTAATAAGTCACAGTAGTAACAATCCCACCTCCATTGATAGTAAGTTTCGACAAAAAAACTACGTGGCAAAGTAAAATCACAAAGCCGCCGTAATTGATTTTTCGGGGGGTGTCCGATCGCCGTGCGTGTAACAAGTCGTGCCGGGACACCGTCCCTTCACCCGGAACAACAAACCAGTTTAACGAAAGCTGTCTCGTGACGAACAAAACGCCGCCAATTTATCGCTGCCTCAGCAGCACCACCCGTGGTGTCGTCTTCGTTGGCGAGCGATCCACGCAAGACGCTGAGTAAAAACGGGCAACGGACGTGTCGCCGGTAGTTGCGCGCAACCGGCGTCAGCAGTATTATCAGAGTTATGTTTTTTGTTTGCATTATGGCTGCAGGTATTGTGATCTATGCAAACATGACTCCTTGTAAAAAAAGGTGTCAGTTTTGTTGCCAGATAGAAGGGTAAAAAAACAATTATCATATTTTTTACTGGCAAATGTGGTTCCAATGGTGTAAATGCTTACCCCGAGCTCTCATACTCTGATGGTGCATTGTCTTTGAGTTGTGCGCCTTTTGGCGTCATCTGGTCCAACCCCATGTGAGACTAGGCTCTAAGGAAAGCTGTCTCGGGTGTGGACCAATCAACTTCAAGGACAGTGCATATATTATCAGAGTTGTGTTTTTTGTTTGCATTATGGCTGCATGTATTGTGGTCTATGCAAACATGACTCCTTGTAAAAAAAGAAGTGTCAGTTTTGTTGCCAGATAGAAGGGTAAAAAAATAATTATCAACAAGAACCGTGGTTTGCCACGAGCTTTGAACTATTTTGCATTTTACCAGGTAAGGCCCACTGAGCTATGTAGCTCTTTTTCGAGAAGCGACCCCTGGCCATCACAAAACGATAGCTCAACGAAGTGGCTTATCACACGGAAAATTATACCAGCCAATTGCTCTAAACAGCGTGATGCTGTTTTCTAAATGTGGAGGGAAAAACCGGAGGACCCGGAGAAAAATCCACGCAACCACGGAGAGAGAGAGAGACACGCAAACTGCCAAATATACAGCAGCAGGCGTCAGGGTCGGGATCGAACCCACGACCTCCTGTACACCAGGTGAGGTAGTTAACATCTCCTAGCCACCGTGGTGATGATGGTGAGAGAGAGACACGCAAACTGCCAAATATACAGCAACAGGCGTCAGGGTCGGGATCGAACCCACGACCTCCTGTAGACCAGGTGAGGTAGTTAACATCTCCTAGCCATCGTGGTGATGATGGTGAGAGAGAGACACGCAAACTGCCAAATATACAGCAGCAGCAGGCGTCAGGGTCGGGATCGAACCCACGACTTCCTGTAGACCAGGCGAGGTAGTTAACATCTCCTAGCCATCATGCTGATGATGGTGAGAGAGACACGCAAACTGCCAGCAGCAGGCATCAGGGTCGGGATCGAACCCACGACCTCCTGTAGACCAGGGGAGGTAGTTAACATCTCATAGCCACCGTGATGATGATGGTGAGAGAGACACGCAAACTGCCAGCAGCAGGCGTCAGGGTCGGGATCGAACCCACGACCTCCTGTAGACCAGGGGAGGTAGTTAACATCTCATAGCCACCGTTACCCAAACCACACGGGACTTTGCTGGTGGATTCATTGACTAATCGCCGGAGGAGGACCCCGGTCGTATGGCACTCGCCACCGAGTAATCAAACTCGTTCTAGATTTGAAACTTTCGTGACTGCAAGGATTCATACTCTTAGTTTTTTCGGTAAAGTCACGTAGGTAAAAAACATGAAATTAAAATTAATAAAAAGAAAATAATATATTTTTTTATTAATTTTTATTTAAATTTTTTAAAAATAAAAATAAAATAATATTTTTTAAATTAATTTTAATTTCTTTTTTTTACCTACGTGACTTTACCGAAAAAACTAAGAGTCTAATCAAACTCGGTTCGCTGGGGGGGAAGGCGGTCGCATCGCGCGGTACAATAATCACTGCGTCACCGCCGCTCTCAGTTGCATTGCAATTGCGCTGCTGCACAGTCGCAGTCTGCCCACGGTTACCCCCGGTTACCCCCGGTTACCCCGGTGTGCGTTCCCACTGCGGTAGAGGGTGGCCGAGGGGGGCAGCGCCGCCCCCCTCACGACGCTGTCGGCGAGCAGCGTGCTGTACAGGTGACCCGCGCTGTGCGGCCGCAGCAGCGAGCTCGTCAGCAGCTGATTGGCCACCAGGCCTGCACCGGTGGGAGCGGGATGTGACCAAGGAGTGGGATGGAGTGTGGGTTTTAAACCGGACCGGAGTTGAGTCGTTGAGTCGTTTCGTCCGGGCCGGAGTTGAGCGGAGTGGAGCGGAGTGGAGTGTAATGATGTTAGAGTGGAATGACGTGGAGCGAAAGGTGGTTTTTGGCCGGACCGGACCGGACGTCGAAAGGAGTAGAACACAGGGTGCGGTCCAGTGGACCGGAATGAAGGCAGAGTTGACCAGAGTGGAGCAGAGCGGAATGGAATGGAGTTTTTTTTTTTTGGGGTAAAACCGTATTAGAGCAGAGTCAAGTGCAGTGCAACAGGATGCTGGACCGGAGTGGGATTCAATGGACCGGAGTGTGTTCCGTTGAGTGGAGTGGTATGGAACGGACCGCCGTGCATTGGGAGTGGAGTTTAAAGGAACCAGAGCGGAGTAGGTCAGAGTGGAATGGATTCGATTGGGGGTGAGGGAGAAAGAAAGGAGTGGACCGGATCAGACCAGGCCGCAGCGGAGTGTAGCAGAGCGGGTGGCGGTTGAAGAAGACCGGAGCGGATTGGAGCAGAGCGGAGCGGAGCAGTGTGATCCGGAGTAGATCAGACCGGACCGGAGCAGAAAGGAAAGAGGATAACAAAAAAAAATGAACAAAAGACGGACGAGCAGCCGCGAGTACAACAACGGTCACGTGGACGAGACAGACACACGCATATGCAGAAAGGCCTTGGGAAACCATCACAGACTGTTGGGGAAAGTGCCAAGGGCTGTTATAGCGAGCACCTATCAATGGTGGCGCAGCGTCACAATTATCATCACCGCCTCGTACGCCAAAGACTAAGATTCCCCTTATATCCTTAAGAAACTGTCGGGGCAAGTGCTGTTAGCGAGCAGTTTTTTCCTGGATTTTTCTGTTTGCGCATGGTCACTTAAAGATGTTTTCTTGTTCATGTTTTAGTTTGTTTGTTTGTTGCGGTTGCACTCGATTCAAGAGCCGAATGGCTCACAGGGCTTTACCAAATCAATGAAACTGAAACTGATGCATCACTGCCCAATGTTTAGACACCGCAACAAACGCTCGTCTAAGGCCGAGCGGAGCTAAAGGAGGCCCAGGATCCGTCCAGATGTCACTCGCTACTGACGTTGGCCGAGAGACCGGGAATCAAACTCAGATCACCGGGTTCGTCGGCCGGTGTGCACAGAGGGATCGAGGAATCGAGGGTTAGAGGGACCGACACACGAGCCGACACACAAACTGACACATTGTGTTAGTTCGTTGGCCTTCCACCGCACCACCGATTAGCACGGTTGGTGACGTACGGTGCGAATTAAGTTCAACGTACTGTACATACAACACACGAACCAAAACACGCGAACAAGCCGAGCCCAAACAACAACAACAACCGCCATTCGCCACCAGGTGGCGGTGACGTCACCACGGCGCTCGTGCCAGGCCAGGTGCACTTTAAGGCCACGTGATTTGTCGAACGCCCGCCGACAGGAGGTCACGGGACAGACCCAGGTGGCGCCACGGGCCGACCGACTGAGATGACCGGCCGGTGCACCGCACGCGCACACGCGGGACGTGTAACCGCACACATCGACACAGAAAGGGCATACGGAGAGGCATACGGAGAGGCCTAAGGACACAGGCCGACAGACAGACACGGCCACGTACGGTCAGACGGACAACAAAGCCCGTTCGTCTTAAGGGTCTTTTCGGCTGCCGGTTGACCCCGAGGGATCGGGCGATGAAAACGATCAAGCGAGGACGGAATTCACGGGATCCAGTAAGAATATGGGACAGGGTGATGATGAAGCGATCAAGGGATTGAGTGATCCTCGCACCGAGAGATCACTGGATCGCGTGATCCAAGGATCGAGGGATCAAATGTACAAATGATGAAGGGAGCAATGGATCGAGGGGTCAAGAGAAGGATGGATCTTGGTAACAAGGGAGCCATGGGATTGAGGGATCGATGGGTTCGAGGGAAAGAAAGAGGGGTCGAGGGTTACAGGGAAGGAGGATGGAGGATGGAGGGATACAGGGATGGAGGGATACAGGGATGGAGGGATGGAGGGATACAGGGATGGAGGGATGGAGGGATGGAGGGATGGAGGGTTACAGGGATGGAGGGATGGAGGGATGGAGGGATGGAGGGTTACAGGGATGGAGGGATGGAGGGATGGAGGGATGGAGGATTACAGGGATGGAGGATTACAGGGATGGAGGATTACAGGGATGGAGGGATACAGGGATGGAGGGATGGAGGGATGGAGGGATGGAGGGTTACAGGGATGGAGGGATGGAGGGATGGAGGGTTACAGGGATGGAGGGATACAGGGATGGAGGGATGGAGGGATGGAGGATTACAGGGATGGAGGGATACAGGGATGGAGGGATGGAGGGATGGAGGGATGGAGGGTTACAGGGATGGAGGGATGGAGGGATGGAGGATTACAGGGATGGAGGGATACAGGGATGGAGGGATGGAGGAATGGAGGGATGGAGGATTACAGGGATGGAGGGATGGAGGGTTACAGGGATGGAGGGATGGAGGGATGGAGGGATACAGGATGGAGGGATGGAGGATTACAGGGATGGAGGGATGGAGGGATGGAGGGTTACAGGGATGGAGGGATACAGGGATGGAGGGATACAGGGATGGAGGGATACAGGGATGGAGGGATGGAGGGATGGAGGGATGGAGGGATACAGGGATGGAGGGATGGAGGGTTACAGGGATGGAGGGATACAGGGATGGAGGGATGGAGGGATGGAGGGATGGAGGATGGAGGGATGAAGGGATACAGGGATGGAGAATGGAGGGATTGGAGCAGGACCCTCACCGCGGTTGAGGGTGCAGCTGCTGTTGGCGTCGGCGGAGATGAAGGACGACTCCGTCTGCTTGCGCACGGTGTCGTTCCACATGCGGCGGATTCGACTCTGCAGCGCGACACGACGACACAGAGCATGTGGTCGTGTGTGTGTGGACGCACCGTGCGTGCGTACCTGCGTGTTGGGAGAGTAGCGTGCGCGCGTGTGTGTGCGCAGTGTGTGTACGGTGTGTAGCATAATGTAGCGTGCGTGCGTACTTGTGCGTTGGGAGAGTAGCGTGTGTGTGTGTGCAGTGTGTGTAGCGTGTGTATGTAGTATATGTGGTTGTGTAGTGTATGTAGTGTGCGTCTGTATCTGCGTGTTGGTAGAGTAGCACGCGTGTGTGTATTTAGGCTGCGTGTGTAGTGTACATAGCATGCGTGTGTAACGTGCGTAGCGTGTGTAGCGTGTGTGCGTACCGGCGTATTGGGAGAGTAGCGTTGCGTGTGTGTGTAGTGTACGTAGCGTGCGTATGTGTGCAGTGTACATAGCGTGCGTGTGTGTGCAGTGTATGTAGCGTGTGTAGCGTGCGTACGTGTGTAGCGTGCGTAGCGTGTGTAGCGTGTGTAGTGTGCGTACCTGCGCGTTGGGGGAGTAGCGCGTGCTGTTGGAGTGTCGCGAGTTGGAGTTTTTGGCCGAGTTGTAGGAGGAGTCGTTGCCCCAGGATCCGCAGCACTCGGCGTGCCTCAAGCACTTGCTGTACTCCTTACGCACCTGCGCGGGTAAGAGGCGAGGGGTCGGGGGTCAGAGTTCAAGTCAGGCCTAGAGTTAGGGTTATATGGTGTTACGCCTGCTGTATATTTGTCGTTTGCGGTGTCTCTCTCTCGCCGCAGTCGCGTGGATTTTTTCCCCCGGGTCCTCCCGTGTTTCCCTCCACATTTAGAATCGACATCGTGCGTTCATAGAGTATTTGCCTGCTCTTTGTTTTTTCGGTGAAGTCACGTAGGTATAAAGTAAAATATAATAAATGAAAACAACTGAATTTATTTTATTTAATTTTTCACCTCCGTGACTTTACCGAAAAAACCAAAGAGTATGAATCCTTGCAGTCACGAAAGCTTCAAATCTAGAATTATTTGCCTGCTGCTAGAAATGTCCACGTGACAAGCCACTTCGTTGGGCTATCATTTGCGATGGCCATGTCGCTTCTGCAAAAGAGCTATAAGTATAACCCGTAAAAAAAAAGTTTTTCACTATAAATCCTTTATATGCGTGGCGGCTAGAGTCCTCTCGTCCTCTGGCTTGAGATGGCTACCACCTATTGGTCAGATGATTGCATGGCAGCATTAAGCAATTGGTAATTAAATAGAATATTTTTGTCGTAAAAAGTGTAAAAATTTGGAAAAAAATTTTCACGAACATTAATTGTCTCGCACAAAGAGTCTGTGTGCAAAATGTCAGCTCGATTGGATCACGGGAAGTGGGTTAAAAAACGACCGAAAGATTTGCACGGTCCTAAGCAAGCAAGCAAGCACGCAAGCAAGCAAGCAAGCGAACTTAATATAAAGGATTTGATAAAGTCTCAGTTGGGCCTGACCTGGTGAAATAAAAAATTAAGTAATTTCGTGCGATTGGTTTCCCTTTCCAATACTTTGCACTCCGATTGCGTTGCCGTACTGTTTGCTGTTGTGACGCTGTGACCCCGTGCCCCTGGAGATCTGTAAGAAAGAGCTTCTTAGCTCATCGGATTCCTCCTCCAGTTTTAAATAAATGTCCAGATTCTGTTATCGATTCTGAAATAGAGCCATATCGCTCAGCAAGCCTTACCTGTGGCAAAATATAGTGATAGGTTTTTACCCTTTCAACTGGTACAAAACTGACACCTTTATACAAGGCATCATGTTTGCAATAACCACAACACAAGCAGTCAAAATGCAAACAAAAAGAAACAACTCTGATGATGATAATGATATGTGTTGTGGTTATTGCAAACATGATGCCTTGTATAAAGGTGTCAGTTTTGTACCAGTTGAAAGGGTAAAAACCTATTACTATATTTTGACACTAGTAAAGGAGATGTCTCAGTGTAAATGCTTACCCCGAGCTCTCAATACTCTGATAGTGCGCTGTCTTTGAGTTGTACGCCTTTTGGCGTCATCTGGTCCAACACCAGTGGAGACTAGGCTCTAAGAAAAGCTGTCTCGGGTGTGGACCAATCAACTTCAAGGACAGTGCATATCATTATCAGAGTTGTTTCTTTTTGTTTGCATTTTGACTGCTTGTGTTGTGGTTATTGCAAACATGATGCCTTGTATAAAGGATGTCAGTTTTGTACCATCTTCTTGGTTCTTTCGGTAAAGTCACATAGAATGGAAATAATAAAATAATAAAAATAAAACATAATAAAATAATTCTCGACAGACCTGTTCTCCACCTGAGGATGGCTGCTTGCGTTGTGGCCGAAATGTCGTGAGAATTATTTTATTATGTTTAATTTTTATTATTTTATTATTTCCATTCTACGTGACTTTACCGAAAGAACCAAGAAGATGAATCCCTGCAGTTACGAAAGCAGCTTTAAATCGAAGTTTTGTACCAGTTGAAAGGGTAAAAACCTATTACTAAGCCTTACCTGTTTTTTTTTTCATTACGAGCCGTTAAGATTTTCGGGCACACTTCTTCAACGTCGAAACAACAAAAAACGTCGCGACGGGAAAAGGGGGGGCTCCGGCACCTTTTTCTGCAGAGCGCAGTGGAAGATGAAGATGAACATGCCCTGGAAGGAGTTGAAGATGGTGAAGAGGTAGGCCATGACCAGAGTGGCCTTGTCGATGAAGAGGAACCCGAACACCCAGGTGAGGCCGAGGAGGCAGAGCAGCGCCACGCCCCCCAGTGCCCAGGACCTGCGGGGGAAGGAAGGAGAGAGAAAAAAAAATAAACAACGACAACAACAACGACGACGATTTAAAGCTGCTTTCGTGACCGCAGGGATTCATCTTCTTGGTTCTTTCGGTAAAGTCACGTAGAAGGGAGATAATAAAATAATAAAAATAGAACATAATAAAATAATCCAGGAATGGCCCAGTGAATCTTGACTCTTTTAAGAGGGTCCTAACCATATTGGAATGTTTGGCCTGATTCCATTGAATGGCCATCATGTCGTAGAAAACCTACACATACAAGAGGGTGGGGTCGCACTTAAAACTGCACACACACAAGATCCAAATATCCATTGCTGTGTAATGCGGTTGTAAACGGCCCTTCTGAGGTGCCGTCAGGGGGGGAGGAGTTAGGTCACGTGGGGGGGAGAGGGGTTGAGTATAGAAGGAGGGGAACCGGAAGAGCAAGGGGAGTGACGGGGAACCAGGAACAGAGGAAGGCCACGAAGGGCGAAGCGGGGTGTGGCGAGATCGCCACGAACACGGGGGAAGCGAGGATCGGCACCGTTGGCCAGCGGTGACCGACCCGAAGCAGCAAGGAGGCTGCAGTCAGCAGCGGGGCTGCACAGAGAGAGTGGGCAGCGGGTCTGCATACAGTGACAGCCAGAGGGTCTGCACATAGGGGTAGCAGCGAGTCTGCAGGGAGGAGGTTACAGTAGATGAAGCAGAGAGTCAGAGGGGTGAGGAAGCTATAATAGCAGTGAATAGCCGGGGGCTACAAATACAGGAGTTATAACAGCGTGCCGTGTGGGTAAAGACGTGAACCTGAATAAAGACACGAAGACAGAAAGAAGTGTTCGAGTCCTTTTATTACAGCTGTACTGCCAGTCTAGGCAGTCATCTTCTTGGTTCTTTCGGTTAAGTCACGTAGAAGGGAAGTAATAAAATAATAAAAATAAAACACAATAAAATAATTCTCATAGTGAGAATTCTCATAGTGAGAATTATTTTATTATGTTTATTTTTATTATTTTATTACTTCCCTTCTACGTGACTTTACCGAAAGAACCAAGAAGATGAATCCCTGCAGTCACGAAAGCTTTAAATCGAAATATAATAAAATAATACAATTCTCACGACGTTTCGGCCACAACGCAAGCAGCCGTCCTCAGGTGAAGAATAGGGCTGTCGGAAAGACAGCGTCTGAATGAGCACCACCAGGCTTGGCAGCGTATATTTAAGCTGGGTTAGAGGAGGAGAGCGCCTTAACAAAGGAATTTGCATATCAACAGAGAAATTTAGCATATTTATGGAAAATGCAGATATGGGATTAGTCACTACTTGTGGAATGTGTGGGGGGGGGGGGGAGGTCTCAGAGTCATATTATGCTCGTGTATTATGTAGGATTAGCAGCAACAAAGGGAGGAAGTAGAATTAGCTTGGTGGTGTTTGTTCATTCAGACGCTGTCTTTCCGACAGACCTGTTCTTCGCCTGAGGACGGCTGCTTGCGTTGTGGCCGAAACGTCGTGAGAATTGTATTTTATTATGTTTTATTTTTATTATTTTATTATCTCCCTTCTACGTGACTTTACCGAAAGAACCAAGAAGAACAACAACGATGGCAAAAAGTCAGCGCTGTGATCAATATTGGCATCGTCATCATCGTTATTGTGGTCGTCGTCGTCGTCGTCAACTTACCACCACCCGACACCTACGTACGTAGCTACGTAAGTTGAGCTACTTCTCGCGCGGCGCACGTAGCCCACCGCGCTAATTGGAGGCGCGGGGAAAGGACAACAGACTGAAAGCACAAAAATGCAGTTCTGAAGAAAGTGAGATTTGAATCTAGATTTAAAAGCCCATGAGTAAGACACAGCCGATTAGTGAGGTTTGTCACGTGAACAAAACGTGGCGGTTAGCTTCCTAATTCAGTGCATCGGTGTGATGGAGAGTAAACCCACGCCATTACCAATTTGAATATGACGTTGGTGGGTTAACGACACATTGATATTTACGCGATCCAAACCAAAAAAAAACCTCTTTTACTATGAATAATGATGGTCGCGAAAGGCCACCATGCGTTCAAATTGATCCTTGAATCAGTCTTCGCCACGAATTTGGAATGCTCAGCGTAAGTTTCCGTAGATTCGGAGGTGAGGAAGACGGTCACAACTGGAGCCAATGACTTATCATCATCATCAAGATCATGGCCATCATCATCATCATCATCGACACCATCGTCAATATAGTTATGAATGTTATCGTCTGCATTGGCGTCATTAATATCATCGTCATCATCATCATCATCATCATTCGTGATCTTAGCCGCGAGGACCATCAATGCTGTCATTTAAAATCAACGTGCGCTCAGGGTATTCGTCTGCTAGAAATGTCCACGTAATAAGCCACTTCAGTTGAGCTATCATTTGTGATAGCCGGCAGCGTTTGTCAAAAGAGCCGTGTGGCTCAGTGGGCCTTAGTTTAATCAGATTCGTCGCTAGCACCAACGATATCACCATCAGCGGGGCCGCAAATGTTGATCAACCGTCACTACGAGCACCTTAGCTGCACTAATCGGGTACCAGAGGAGCAATATTTTAGACCTGGCAACAACAACCAAAACAACATCTGCTGTGTTGACCATTTTAGCGCACTCAGTCAAATCACTGCTGTCACAGCAAGGACTCCTTGCAAGCGGCGGCTCGCTGGCGAGATGTCATCCCCCTCGCCTGGCATATTTGGAGTTTGCGTGTCTCTCTCCCCGTGGTCGCGTGGAATTTTTTTTTCCTCCGGGTCTTCCGGTTTCTCCGTCCACATTTAGAAACATGCTTATTTCGATTATGTGGTTGCTATAAATGTCCACGTGATAAGCCACGTCGGTGGGCTGTCATTTGTGGCCAGGTGGCTTCTGAATTTTTTTTATCTGACAGCTCAGTGGGCTTTACCTGCTAAAATAAAAGAGTTTATTTTTGTGACTTTTTTCTTGCTTTTCCTACACTTTGCACTCCCACCGTGCGCTCGTATTGTTTGCCGTTGTAGCTTTCTGACACCGTGCCCCTTACTCGACATCTGTGAAAGAAAGAGCTTCACAGCTGATTGTTTTTTTACCCCTCTATCTGGCAACAAAACTGACACCTATTTTTACAAAGAGTCATGTTTGCATAGACCACAATACCTGCAGCCATAATGCAAACAAAAAACATAACTCTGATAATGTATGTACTGTCCTTGAAGTTGATTGGTCCACACCCGAAACAGCTTTCCTTAGAGCCTAGTCTCACATGGTCCTTGAAGTTGATTGGTCCACACCCGAAACAGCTTTCCTTAGAGCCTAGTCTCACATGGTGTTGGACCAGATGACGCCAAAAGTCGCACAACTCAAAGACAATGTACCATCAGAGTATGAGAGTTCGGGGTAAGCATTTACACCATTGGAACCTCATACTCTGATGGTGCATTGTCTTTGAGTTGTGCGCCTTTTGGCGTCATCTGGTCCAACACCATGTGAGACTAGGCTCTAAGGAAAGCTGTCTCGGGTGTGGACCAATCAGCTTCAAGGACAGTGCATACATTATCAGAGTTGTGTTTTTTGTTTGCATTATGACTGCAGGTATTGTGTTCTATGCAAACATGACTCCTTGTAAAAAAAAAAGGTGTCAATTTTATTGCCAGATAGAAAGGACAAAAAACCAATTATCATTTTTTTTACTGCCAAATGAGGTTCCAATGGAGCTTCACAGCTCTTCGGATTCCTCCGCCGGTATAAAGATTCCGACTATCTTTCAACTTGAAGCGGCACTTTTAAGGAAAGCATCTCCCGCGTTAAGCGAGCGGATTAACGGTACGACCGGAAAAAGTCGTTTCCTGCTCAAACAGGGGCATTGAGGCCGTTGGTGCTCATCTTCCGCTTACAGCCCTGCGCCGGTCATGGGAAATTCTACGTTCTTATGGTGGTGGCTGGGGCGGGGGGCAGTCTATTCATAAGACAATCAGGTCACTCAAAAAAATCTTTAGATTACTCTGGCCTCTTGAGTTCTCATCGAATTCCTCGCCCTCCTCCGGTCTAAATAAAGATTGCGATAAAAATTCCAATTCTACTCCACGGACGGTTCGTGGGCGGCCATCGCCAACGCCGCCACGCACGCCACGCGTCTCGTCGGTGGCGGGTCGTGCGTCGTGTTTGCAAACGTCTGAAAGTCACGTTCGCCCTCCCCCCCCCCCCGGTGAATTAATGCAAATTCCACCCGGCCCCCCCACCCCGCCCCGCCCCCCCGGCTTTCAACGTCGTCCATCTCAAGCGTCGCGGATAAAGAGGCGGGCGCCAGCGTGTTAGACGGTCGTCAGGCTCGCCGAGCCAACGAGCGAGCGAGCGGGCGGGCGGGCGAAAGCGTGCGAGAGAGAAAGAGAAGACAGCGCGTGACGGTGAGAAGCGTGATACGGGCCTGAGGGCCGGAGGCGAGGGGGACCGGGGAAGGTGGGGGGGGGCTAGGGAAAAGGAGAGAGAGAGATGCCCAATTGTGGGCAGAATTCACGGAAAAATACTTACCTGATGAACTCTCTGTTATCCGGAGAGCTGAGAGCGGGCGGGGGGAGGGGGGGGGAGCAGGAAAGGAGGACCACGCAGCACACACAGAAAGTTACTTAGGCGAGCGTGTTGGCGACACGGGGGGGATTAAACTGCCTGCGCAGAGAGATAGGGGGGGGGGGGCGGTGATGTGGCAGTCACAGAGCTCTGGCCAGAGGTCGCAACCGGGTACCCGATATCCGTACCCTACCCGATACCCGGCTACCCGTACCCGGCCGGGTATGGGTACGGGTAGCCGTTTGCGACCCTGGTGCGGCCGGGTACGGCGGGTACGGGTAGGCCGTGAGTCACTGGTGAGTTACCGTTTGTCACTCATTTCCCAACGTCTTGTCTCAAGTTTCCTAGAATCAACCCACCCGCGCCTGCAACATGGCTTCATCCCAAAGGTCGCAATCGGGTACCGGTACCCGTACCCTACCCGATACCCGGCCAGGTACGGGTAGCCGGGTATCGGGTAGGGTACAGGTATCGGGTACCCGGTTGCGACCCTGGTGCGGCCGGGTATGGGTACGGGTAAGGAATCAAAACCCGTTTGCGACCTCTGGCTCTCGCTCTCGGGCGTTCCCGGCGGCGGCGACATCGCCAAAACGGAGCCACGCGCGGCCCCGCGGGGAGACGCTGGCAAACGAACGGATGGATGGGCAGACGGAGGGACAGACGAACGGGCAGATGGACGGATGGATTCAACTAACATTTATTTGATGTTACCAGGCAAGGCCCACTGAGCTATATTGCTCTTTTTAAGAAGCGACCTGGCCACGAATTATATCGTAATGAAGTTGCTCATCGTGGGGACATTTATAGTGGGCAAATATGTCCTAAACGCACGTTTTTAAACGTGAAGGAAAAAGCACGGAGGAGAACATTCAATCTCCAAATATACAGCAGGCGTCAGGGTCGGGATCGAACCCATGACCTCCTGTGTACCGGGTGAGGGAGTTAACATCTCACCATCACGATGGATGGGCAGAGAGCCGGATGGATGGAACTGATAGTTATATGGGCGGATCACCAGATGAACCAGCAGACAAACGGAAAGATGCATGGCCGTAGAGACGTACGCATACGGAGCGATTAAACTGTCCGCCCACATCATGGGACCTCCTTTGCCAGTACCAAAATATACTGATAGGGGTTTTCCTCCTTTTTTCTGGCAACAAAACTGACACCTTTTGCAAGGAATCATGCTTACATTAACCACAATACTTGCAGTCAAATGCAAAAACCAAAACAATACTCTGATAATTTATGCATTGTCTTTGAAACTGATTGGTCCACACCAGAGACAGCTTTCTTTAGAGCCTAGTCTCATATGGTGTTCGACCAGATGACGCCAAAAGGCGCACCTATGTCCGCCCACAGATACGGGAGTCACACCGCCAGCGGGAATGCCAGCGCTCTCAGTCGGCGTCACTGAGCGCAAGCACTTTGCGAGGACATCGTCAGGGGGCACACCCCGGGCCCACTCCGACATCGCCATTGCGTGGAGTTCTATCGCTGTGCAGGAAAACTCGGTTGGCTACATAGGACGATCGGATGACGAGTCGCATGGATTGGACGGACAAAGGAATGGATGGACAGGCTGACGGACAGAGAGATGGACAGAGGGAAGATGGGATGAACGGACAGACGGTCAGATGGATGGACGAGTGAAGATAGATCACAAGAGGGACTTGTATGTATGTTTGTTGAATAGCACTGGTCAACACACTTTATCTGGCATAAGATATTCCAACGGTTGTAAGGTAATTTTGGGGGTGCTGATTCCAAATCTGGCATCAGTTTTTGTCTATCACATCAGGTTTTTGAGATATCAGATATTGCATTTTCAATAAAAACTGCAGAAGAAAAATATTAAATAAATGTGGATATCTACATAAAATGATATTATAAACACACTATCCTAAAAATACAGCACCATATTTTAACACTAAAGCAGTCACTGACTCGCAACAACTTGCAATCACAAGTGACAGAGTTAATTTCGGGTAAAATCAATGAAAATGGGGTATGCCGATAGCATAAAAATGAGATGTAATAGAGCAAATCTGAGATCAGATTTGGAATCAGCACCCCGAAATTAGTCTAAAACAGCTGCAAAAGTCAAGGCCAGAATTTTTTTTTTTTTTGACCAGTGTTATTAGCCAACCGTACTCATCGGAAATGCGGGGGGAAGGTCAACAAACAAAACACAAAAAGTAGTTCTAAAGAAATTAGTTTTCAATCGAGATGATGACTTCAAAGTGCATAGCTCTCAGTGGCTTCCTAATATCAGAAGGAAGAGAGCGTTCCAGACGGCCGCAGAAGCGCATCTGAAAGCGCGCGATGCAGCGGCCATCTTTGTTCGACGGTCAGCCAAAAAGCCGCCGCTGCGATTCTGACCGGACCTCACGTGATGGTATTTACGCTCCTTGACGAAGAGACTTTTATACGGACAGCCGTACGGACAGACGGATGCGCACGCGCCGAAAGCCAGGCAGACGACAAAGCACACACGCGAGACGAGACGCAGACACGGCGCGAAGACACGTCGCCAAGGCAGACCTTACCCAGGCAGGTCAGTGTTATAGTATCCGTCACACACGGGGTGACTGAACGAGGCGCGGGGGGCAGAGGTGGCACAGGGGCAAGGAGAGCAGAGTTAGAGACGCGAGGCGTGGGGGGAGGTTGGGGGGGAGGGTGGGGGGGAAGATCGCACGACCGACGGAAAAACCGCGGCAGGTGGAAAGAACCGGCGAAGATTCTCACGCCGGGTCCGCCGTGCGCGCAGCCGCCCGCCGGGGTCAATCGGGCCTTGTTTGACTCGCTCGGGCGAGCGATTCATGCACGTTGAACTTCTTTCGACGTCCTACGTAGCCAGCCGTGCTAATCGGAGGTGTGCGACTGGTCGGGACGAGTCTGTCTAGAGGCGGGGGCTCCCCCCGAAACGGCGTGCGTGCGGTGTAACGGAGTCCCCGCGTGGAACGGGGGTAGGTTGTGGGGTTTTTTTGGTTGTTGTTGCGAGGACTCATACAATTCGAAGAGAAATTTTATACAAATTGAAAAACAAAAGCTCAATAACTGAGCGAGGCGCAAAGCGGAGCCGCCGCCTTCGACGCAAGAGGTTCGTGGGTGGTTCAATGCCGGACCCCGACGATGCCTGCGCCTGTTCTACATCTGGAGTACGAGTGTGTTCTCACGCTCTCTCTCTCTCTCCCCGTGGTGGTCGCGCGGATTTGTAAATCCTTTATATTAAGTTCACTTGCTTGCTTGCTTGCTTGCGCGCTTACGACCGCGCAAATCTTTCGGTCGTTTTTGAACCCACTTCCCGTGATCCAATCGAGCTGACATTTTGCACACAGACTCGTTGTGCGTGACAATTTATTTTCGTGAAAAAAAATTTCCAAAATTTTCCACCTTTTAGGAATTTTTTTTTTTCATATTTCATTTAAAATACCAATGTGATAAAAATGAAACTCTTACACAAGAAAAACAGAAATGAATAATAAAATAAAACCGATGCCACGCATATAAAGGATTTATAGTGAAAAACTTTGTTTTTACGGGTTAATTTTTCTCCTCTGGGTTCCTCCAACAGTTTTTCCACCACCTCCTCCACATTATAAAAAAGTACGCGAGGTGTTCCCCACGTACACCACCCCCACTCATATAAACGCATTGACTTTCTCGTATACAGGTAGTCCTCTACTTAAGATGGAGATGCGTTACGACGACCCCATCGTAAGTCAAAAATATCGCAAGTCGAAGATGGCCTAGCCTACCCAGGAGTCTTAAAGAACGGTGATAATTTAGCAAAACAGAGCAATTTACAGTACCGTACTGTATAAACTATATACTGTATGTATTTAGTAATTACAATACTGTATTTGCACAGTAAAATGTAAACTGAAAAAAACAAGATAAATTCTTAGCCTACCTATATGAACTGCAATTTAATAGAAACTTTTTTCAGGAAACAATCCTATCTGCTATAAAAAAAAACTTTTAACATGCATTGAACGTATCGTATAGCGATCGCGATCGCAAGATCGAAATATCGTAAGTCGGACCATCGTAACACGGGGACTATCTGTATAAGGTGACCTTTCTCTAATTCGTGAACATTTTAGATGAAGAAATTCTGCAACAGAACTTTCACAGCGGGCGGTGTAACGTCAACTCGTGTTTTGGCGAACGAACCTAAGAAAGCAGACATCGCAGAACTAAATTTTGATTTAAAGCTTTCGTGACTGCAGGGATTCATATTCTTGGTTCTTTCGGTAAAGTCACGTAGAAGGGTAATAATACAAAAATAAAAATGAAACATAATAAAATACAATTCTCACGACGTTTTGGCCACAACACAAGCAGCCGTCCTCAGGTGAAGAACAGGTTTGTCGGAAAGACAGCGTCTGACAGACCTGGTCTTCACCTGAGGACGGCTGCTTGCGTTGTGGCCGAAACGTCGTGAGAATTATTTTATTATGTTTTATTTTTATTATTTTATTATTTCCCTTCTACGTGACTTTACCGAAAGAACCAAGAAGATTATTTTATTTTAGTTTTTCTTCCGGTTTCGTTTTAACGACGCACGTCATCGGAACGGGAGCGGAAGAAAAAATGGATGACGCTACACGCACGTATGTCACCGGAACGGGGAAGGGTTAAACTAACGCAAGCAGGTGCACGATTTATAAAATCCCTTGCAAAGGGGCGATTGTTACACGATGGGTCAAAGCGAAGCTTCCAAGTCCAAGTTTCAAGTTCATCTATTAGGTATAGCCCTGTGAGCCATTCGGCTCTTGAATCGGGTGCAACCGCAACAAACAAAAAACTTAAACGTGAACCAGAAAACATCTTAAAGTGACTATGTGCAAAGAGAAAATCCAAGAAAAGACAGCAAAACATTGCAGAAAAAGCACCGTGCACCAACGCTGTGTGCAAAAATCCCAGTGGGATGCAAGTCAAACAACAACAACCACAACAACCAAAAGACAACCTATGGTCCCCCCGAGAGCCGGATTGAGCTCGTTAAAGCGAAACCCGATTTTTAAACGACGCTTACATTTTTGTGCGTCACTCATTGGCGACCGTGGCTGTGAACCACCAATATTCGCTCGCTACAGGTTCAATCGCGCGTGGCAGTGGCCCATACTCTTAGGTTTTTTTCCGGTAAAGTCACGTAGGCGAAAGTAAATAATAAAAGATAAATAACAAAAAGAATAGAAGAAATAATAGAAATAAAATAATAAATCACGATAACAAATATTCAATTACTCGAAACAGCAATCGTGCTGTGACGGTTCCACCCGAAGAACGGAAGCTTGTGTTGCCCCCGAAACGTCGTGGTTTCATTATTTTATTTCTATTATTTTTATTATTGATATTCTTAGGTTTTTTCGGTAAAGTCACGTAGGTAAAAAACTAAAATTAATAAAATTGTACTTTTATTAATTTTAATTTTTTACCTACGTGACTTTACCGAAAAAAACCTAAGAATATGAATCCTTGCAGTCACGAAAGCTTCAAATCTAGAATTCATTATTGATCTTTTATTATTTATTTTTACCTACGTCACTTTATCGAAAAAACCTAAGAGGCTTCGGCCCAGTCGGTCGAAAAGTAGGACTGACGGGGAAACTGCCAGCCGCACCCCGCCGTATGTCCCGGTTGAGCCTCCCGGAAAATGCGGTCGCTTCAAGTGATGAACCACCCCCCCCTCCCTCCCTCCTCCCGCTCCTCTCCCCCCCAACACACCCGGCCCCATCACTCACTTAATGTTCTCGAGCCGGTTGCCATCGGGCTTGATTGGCGCCGAATGCTGCAGCATCTTGTACAGAGTAATCAGCAGGAACACGAAGTTCACCTGTGATACACACCACACGCGCGCCACGCACACACGAGTCAACGGTCCGTAAGACGTGATAATTGTTTTTTGTAAATCCTTTATATTAAGTTCGCTTGCTTGCTTGCGTGCTTGCGTGCTTGCTTGCTTGCTTACGACCGTGCAAATCTTTCGGTCGTTTTTTAACCCACTTCCCGTGATCCAATCGAGCTGACATTTTGCACACAGACTCGTTGTGCGAGACAATTAATGTTCATGAAAATGTTTTTCAAAAATTTTACACTTTTTAGGGAAAACAAATTAAATATTTAATTACCAATTGCTTAATGCTGGCAGACAATCATCTGACCCATAGGTGGCAGCCATCTCAAGCCAGAGGACGAGAGGACTCTAGCCGCCACGCATATAAAGGATTTAAAGTGAAAAACTTTGTTTTTACGGGTTATACTTATTACCCTTCTATCTGGCAACAAAACTGACACCTTTTTTTACAAGGAGTCATGTTTGCATAGACCACAATACCTGCAGTCGTAATGCAAACAAAAACACAACTCTGATAATGTATGCACTGTCCTTGAAGTTGATTGGTCCACACCCGAGACAGCTTTCCTTAGAGCCTAGTCTCACATGGGTTGGACCAGATGACGCCAAAAGGCGCACAACTCAAAGACAATGCACCATCAGAGTATGAGAGCTCGGGGTAAGCATTTACACCATTGGAACCTCATTTGCCAGTAAAAAATATGATAATTGGTTTTTTACCCTTCTATGTGGCAACAAAACTACAAGGACAGTGCATATATTATCAGAGTTATGTTTTTTGTTTGCATTATGACTGCAGGTATTGTGGTCTATGCAAACATGACTCCTTGTAAGAAAAGGTGTCAGTTTTGTTGCCAGATAGAAGGGTAAAAAAACGATTATCATATTTTTTACTGGCAAATGAGGTTCCAATGGTGTAAATGGTCCGTAAGACGTTTTCTTTTTTCGTTGGGTTAGATCGCGTGAGCGTAAATGTGTCGTTAGACCCGTCACCACCACCCGAGACACAGGCAATTAGTAACAGAACGTGCCAATACGTTGCTGGTTCAGCGTAACCGGTGTGTTGGGAGAGAGTAAACCCACAGCAACATTCACAATTCGAGCAGAGTCACGTTTCGCCGGTAATCACAACAACAACAACAAGCATCGTCGAATTGCGGAAAATTCATCTGCCTCTTCCTGGTTATTTCGGTAAAGTCACGTAGAATGGAAAAAATAAAATAATAAAAATAAAACATAATAAAATCATTCTCACGACGAGGTGAAGAACAGGTCTGTCGAGAAGACAGACTCTGTCTTCTCGACAGACCTGTTCTTCACCTGAGGACGGCTGCTTGCGTTGTGGCCGAAACGTCGTGAGAATTATTTTATTATGTTTTATTTTTATTATTTTATTATTTCCATTCCACGTGACTTTACCGAAAGAACCAAGAAGATGAATCCCTGCAGTCACGAAAGAAGCTTTAAATCAAAATTCCTCCTCCTGTTTCGGTCTTAAACGGAGCGGCAGAGGTGACGTCCTCACTGAGCCTATCAGGTGCCAAGATCAGAGGGGGGTGAATGTAGTCAATGTAAATTGCAATGGATGCCGATAATTTCGGGTTATTTAAAACGAGTTGGAAACCAAGTTCACTTTCCAGGCTACGGCAACGGGCAGTGTGCTCGGGCCACATACACGACGCTTAACGCGTGTTAGCACGGCTAACACGTGTTAGCGTCGCAATCAGAAGTGCTCGCCTGCAATTCGCGTTTTAGATCCAGACGGGATTTTGGCTCGAGACGATTTCAAGGGAATTCACGATCAACACGAATGTGGGAATCGCATCACATTCAGCGCGGGAACTCTCACGCACTCGTTCATCGAGCAGCAGACACGGCGACGCGTCTCGCTGGCGGGAGGACGACGCCGGAAGCTTCACCGGGACCCCCCCACCCCCCCCGTCCCCGTCCCCGGCACAACGCGCGCGCACGCTACTCACGAAGATGATGGCGGCCACGGGCGCGAGGAAACTCCAGATGAAATGATTGTCGGTCCTGAGCCAGCAGCTGCAGAACGGAAGAGAGGACAAACGGTCGCCTGGTTAGCCTGACAAGGCCGGGATAGCGCTGCATGTATCCGGTTTCATTCGCCAGCATCTGGCAACATTTGCCACCGTTCAGTAGCACTTGAGCCGCCATCTGGGAACATTAGGGCACATTTGTGTCATTTGCTGTATGTGATGACATTCCAGACATCTGGTGAAACCGGGCGCCAGCCGGCAAGACCCGGCACTAGCCGGCAAGGCCGGGCACCAGCCGGCAAGACCGGGCACCAGTCAGCAAGCCCGGGTGCCAGGTGTCAACACCAGGCGTGAACCGGCAACACCGGGCACCAGTCAGCAAGCCCGGGTGCCAGGTGTCAACACCAGGCGTGAACCGGCAACACCGGGCACCAGTTAGCAAGCCCGGGTGCCGGGTGGCAACGCCAGGAGTGAACCGGCAACACCGGGCACCAGTCAGTAAGCCCGGGTACCAGGTGGCAACACCAGGAGTGAACCGGCAACACCGGGCACCAGTTAGTAAGCCCGGGTGCTGGGTGGCAACACCAGGCGTGAACCGGCAACACCGGGCACCAGTTAGTAAGCCCGGGTGCCAGGTGGCAACACCAGGAGTGAACCGGCAACACCGGGCACCAGTCAGTAAGCCCGGGTGCCAGGTGGCAACACCAGGCGTGAACCGGCAAGACCGGGCACCAGTTAGTAAGCCCGGGTGCCGGGTGGCAACACCAGGTGTGAACCGGCAACACCGGGCACCAGTTAACAAGCCGGGGCGCCATCCGGCAAGACCGGGCTCCAGTCAGCGAGCCGGGGCGCCATCCGGCAAGAACCCGGGCGCCGTCCCGGCAAGACGGGCTGCGACGGAGAGGGAAGGGGCGGGGGGGGGGGGGTGGTGGCGGCGGGACTGACGCGCGCTCGGTGCCGTAGCCCGTGTAGTCGACGGCGAGCGAGACCCCGACGACGGTGAGCGGCAGGCCGTAGCCCAGCAGGTAGAAGTACTTGCGGCGCGCGCGGCGCCCCTCGAAAACCTCGACGAGCATGAGGTAGAGCTGCACCCCCTCGAGGCACATCCACGCGAACGCCGCCAGGAAGAACAGGTGGAGCAGCGCCGCTAGGACGGAGCACGCCACCTGTGGAGGCGGGGAGGGGGTTGGGGGGTTGGTGTTGTATAGAAGCGGAATTTCGATTGAAAGCTGCTTTCGTGACTGCAGGGATACATCTTCTTGGTTCTTTCGGTAAAGTCACGTAGAAGGGAAGTAATAAAATAATAAAAATAAAACATAATAAAATTTCGATTTAAAGCTTCTTTCGTGACTGCAGGGATTCATCTTCTTGGTTCTTTCGGTAAAGTCACGTAGAAGGGAAGTAATAAAATAATAAAAATACAACATAATAAAATAATTCTCACGACGTTTCGGCCACAACGCAAGCAGCCGTCCTCAGGTGGAGAACAGGTCTGTCGAGGAGACAGAGTCTGAATGACACGCCCCAGGCTTGGAGGGAGGGAGCAGGCGGGCAGGTGAGTGGGTGAGTAGGCGAGTGGGTGTGTAGGTGAGTGGGTGAGTAGGCGAGTGGGTGAGTAGGTGAGTGGGTGAGTAGGTGAGTGGGTGAGTGGTTGAGTAGGTGAGTGGTTGAGTGGGTGAGTGGGTGAGTCGGTGAGTAAGTGAGTAGGTGAGTGGGTGAGTAGGTGAGTGGGTGAGCGAGTGTGTGAGCGAGTGGGTGAGTAAGTGTGTAGGAGAGTGGGTTAGAAGACGAGTGGGTAAGTAGGATGGTAGGTGAGTGGGTGAGTAGGCGAGCGGGTGAGTGGGTGAGTAGGTGAGTGGGTGAGCGAGTGTGTGAGCGAGTGGGTGAGTAAGTGTAGGAGTGGGTGAGTAGACGAGTGGGAAAGTAGGAGAGTAGGTGAGTGGGTGAGTAGGCGAGCGGGTGAGTGGGCGAGTGGGTGAGTGGGTGAGTAGGCGAGCGGGTGAGTAGGTGTGTAGGTGAGTGGTTGAGTGGTTGAGTGGTTGAGTGGGTGAGTGGGTTAGTAGGTGAGTCGGTGAGTCGGTGAGTGGGCGAGTGGGCGAGTGGGTGATTGGGTGAGCGAGTGTGTGAGCGAGTGGGTGAGTGAGTGAGTAGGTGAGTGGGTGAGTAGGCGAGCGAGTGAGAAGACAAGTCGGTGGGAGTGGGCAAGAGGGAGGGAGCGGGCGGGCGAGCGGGCGGGCGAGCGGGCGAGCGGGCGATCGTGCGAGCGAGCGAGCGGGCGTGCGCACCGTGTACTGAGTCTTGTCGATGCCGAGCAGGAAGAGGAGCTCGGCGAGCAGCAGGTTGAGGCACAGGTTCTTGTGGATCGTGTTGCGGTCACTCTGGAGGCCGCGGAAGAAGCAGAAGGTGAACGTGGCCATGGCGAGGCACACGAGGGACACCAGCACGCCCACCCACGTGATCACCAGCAGCAGCAGCTCGTGGGCACGGTCCCCGTACTGGCGCGCACGGGACAGACGCACGGACAGACGCACGCACGGACAGAAGCACGCACGGACAGACGCACGCACGGACAGACGCACGCACGGACAGACGCACGCACGGACAGACGCACGCACGGACAGACGCACGCACGGACAGACGCACGCACGGGCAGACGCACGCACGGACAGACGCACGCACGGACAGACGCACGCACAGACAGACGCACGCACGGACAGACGCACGCACGGACAGACGCACGCACGGACAGACGCACGCACGGACAGACGCACGCACGGGACACACGGAGGCGTGAGGATGTCATCGGAGGTGCGGGGGAAGGACAACAAACTAAACACAAAATAAAGTTCTTAAAGAAGTTAGTTGTCAATCGGGATTTACATCTAAAAAGGTGGACAACGAATGACAAAGACAAAGATCCCCCCCGTATAGGCCTCAACAGACTGTTGGGGCAGGTGCTGTTAGCAAGTAGTTGTTGGTTGTTTGACTTGCATCCCACTGGGATTTTTGCACACAGCGTTGGTGTACGGTGATTTTTTCTGCAATGTTTTGCTGTCTTTTCTTGGATTTTCTGTTTAAACTCAGTCACATATTCACTTTAGGATGTTTTTTGTTCACGTTTTTGTTTTTTGTTTGTTGCGGTTGCACCCGATTCAAGAGCCGAATGGCTCACAGGGCTATACCTAATACATGAACTTGATGAACTTGAACCTATGAAGGCTGGCACTACACACGAGGGGGTGGGTGGCCAACACCACGCCCGGCCGCCTTTGTCTCTCCCAAGTGGCGATGTTGACACACCGCACCAGGTACTCATTTGAGGCTGAGTCGACTGAGGGGAGGCCCAGGACCGGTTCAGATAATTGTCGCTGGTGTTGGTGGCCGTGAGTGGGAATTGAACTTGGGTCGCTGGGTTCGTAGCGCAGCGCCCTAACCGCTAGGCCACCGCTCCCCCACAGCATAAACATTACCACCATCAAATCAACTATCACCACCACGACCTCATCTAAACTCTACCACCACTACTAACACCATCACCTCCGATCAACCACCGTCACCACCTTCACCACCACAACCACCACCTCATCCAAACTTACCAGCTCCAACACCATCACCTCCAATCACCACCCTCACTACCCTCACCACCACTACCACTCACCACCATCACCACATCCAAACATTACCACCACCAACATCACCACCATCACCTACAATCACCACCCTCACCACCATCACCACCACCCTTACCACTCTCACCACCACCTCATCCAAATTTTACCACCACCAACATCACCACCATCACCACCATCACCACCCTCACCATCACCACCACCACCACGACCGACTCACTCGTCCATCACCAACACCATCACTACCATCATCACCACCAATCACCAACCTCACCCCCCCCGCCCCCCGCCCCGCCCCTCTCAGCACCTCGATATCGTGCCTCGCCATGAGCACCGCGAAGTTGGTGAGGTGGTTGCAGGAGCACGTGGTGTGCGTGCTGTTGGTGGACAGCAGCTTGCAGCCGTGGCTTGACCAGTGGCCCCTCATGGTGTGCGACGAGTAGTTCCAGAAGGAGCAGCTGGGGCTGAAGTGGTCCGACGTCTGGGGGGGGCGGGGGGGGAGGGGGGCGGGGGGGGGAGGAGGAGGACGGAGCCCAAATCGTCATTCAAGGGCCGCTCTCAAAGAGTCTCGGAATCAGCGGCGGTGGGAGCATCGTCATCATCATCAGCAACAGCAGCAGCAACAGCAGCAGCAACAGCAGCAGCAGCAACAGCAGAAGCGCCATCATCATCAGCAGCAGCAACAGCAGCAGCAGAAGCGCCATCATCATCATCAGCAGCAGCAACAGCAGCAGAAGAAGTGCCATCATCATCAGCAACAGCAGCAGAAGAAGCGCCATCATCATCAGCAGCAGCAGCAACAGCAGAAGTGCCATCATCATCATCAGCAACAACAGCAACAGCAGAAGCGCCATCATCATCAGCAGCAGCAACAGCAGCAGAAGAAGCGTCATCATCATCAGCAGCAGCAGCAACAGCAGAAGTGCCATCATCATCATCAGCAACAACAGCAGAAGCGCCATCATCATCAGCAGCAGCAACAGCAGCAGAAGAAGCGCCATCATCATCATCATCACCAGCAACAGCAGCAGAAGAAGCGCCATCATCATCATCAGCAGCAACAGCAGCAGCAGCAGAAGCGCCATCATCAATAGCAGCATCGCGAGCTGTAGCAGCAGCACTATCATGGGCAGCAGCAGGCAGGAGCAGCGTCGTCATCATCATCATCAGCAGCGTCATCAGCAGCAGCGTCATCACGGGCAGCGACAGCATCAACCAAGTGGCATTTTGCAGGTAAAAGTGGAAGCATCGGATGCAGCAGCAGCAGCAGTGGCAATATTCGCAGCATTAGCAGCAAAGGTAACAGCAGTGATTGCAGGAGCAGCAGCAATAACAGCAGCATCAAGATCAGCTGAAACAGCAGCAGCAGCAGTAGTATCAGCAGCATTAGCAACAACAGCAGTATCAGCAGCATCACGAGCAGAATCAGCATCACCAGTTGCTTGGAAGGGTCCCGGCGGCAGGGCTCTGTCCCACTTCCTAGCCGCCGTGGAATCGCGACATCGCCGGTGAGAAATGCAAACCCCGGCATCTCTCAGCCGTGCCCAGTGCTCAGCAGCGGCGTCTCCCACGTGACCGTTGTGAACACCGCCAGCTGAGCAAGCGACGACCCCGGGTGCCCGGGGCCCCCACCCCACCCAAGCTGACTACCCCCCCCATACCCCCACCCACCCCCAGTCCCCCCACCCCACCCCATCCCCCCCCACAAGCTCACTACCCCACCCCCTGTCCCCCCCACCCACCCCCAGTCCCCCACCCCACCCCATCCCCCCCACAAGCTCACTACCCCACCCCCTGTCCCCCCACCCACCCCCATCCCCCCACACCACAACTACCCCCACCCCCTGTCCCCCCCACCCACCCCTATCCCCCCACCCACTCCTCCCCCCCACCACTCACACCCCACCCCTCCCCCCACCCACCCAGTCCCCCACACCCCATCCCCCCCACCCAAGCTCATACCCCACACCCCCCACCACCACATCCCCACCCACCCCCCCCCCAGCCCCCCCCCCCACCCCATCCCCCCCCACCACATCGCCCCCCCACCCCAGTCCCCCCCCCCATCCCACCCACACGCCACACCCCCCCCCCACCACCAACCACTCCCCCACCACCCGCATCCCCACCACCACCCCTCCACCCTCACCCACCCCTCCAACCCACCCCACGCTCCGACACCCCCTCACCCACCCCACCCCCCCCCCCCCCCCACCCCCCCCTCCACGAGCTCACCACGTTGTGCTGGACGTGTGAAGACGACGGGCTCGCTGAGGAACACGTGGTTCGACTCCTTGTTGATGGAGGCGGAGATGATGGGCGAGTTGACCACGAGGGAGCGGTTCGTCTGCTGCGACGCGTTGGCCGACAGCGTCGCGTTGTCCGTGCTCAGGAAGAGCGCCAGGTTGTCGTACGTCGTGAACACCAGCTTCGTCACGCCTAAGCGCGCCCACGGCAACAAGATTCGGGAACATTTATTTCACGCTGGAGGAATCCCATGAGCTATCAAGCTCTTTTTTTGTTTGTTTTTAGCAGATGTCCAGTAGACAGCAGAATATCTCTCCTCTCTCACCCGGCTCTCCCTTCGCTCTCTCCCCGCTCTCCCTACTCCCCCTCCCCGCACCGCTGAACGTGACCCCCGCAGCCAGAGGTCGCAAACCGGTTTTGATTCCTTACCCGTACCCGGCCGCACCAGGGTCGCAAACAGGTACCCACACCCGTACCCGGCCGTACCCGTACCCTATACCCATACCCGGCCGGGTACGGGTATCGGGTACCCGATTGCGACCTCTGGGATGAAGCCATGTTGCAGGCGCGGGTGGGTTGATTCTAGGAACTTGAATCGTGAGAAGAGACAAGACGTTGGGAAATGAGTGACAAACGGTGACTCACCAGTGACTCACGGCCTACCCGTACCCATACCCGGCCGCACCAGGGTCGCAAACGGCGACCTGTACCCGTACCCGGCCGGGTACGAGTCGCCGGGTATCGGGTAGGGTACGGGTATCGGGTACCCGGTTGCGACCTCTGCCCGCAGCTCACCGTTGCGGCTGTTCAGCTTGATGGAGTTTGCCGTGAGCGTGATGCGGTTCCCAGAATGCCACGGGGTCGTGGTGCCACCGCGGCCACCGCCGCCGCCACCGCCGCCGTCGGGGCGGTCCGAATTGCCGGCCCTCTCGGTCGCCTCGTCGCGGGGGAACGTGAAGTCCCGTAGCGGCCCCTCCGTGTTCAGCACCGACACCGTGAGCACTGAGGATGGGGTGGGGTGGGGGGCGGGTGGGGGGGGGGGGGAAGCGGGGGGGGGGGAGGAGAAATGGGGTGAGGACAGAGGCAGATTTCGATAAAATTTCCCGTGAATGAACACGTTGTTGTTTATTCACAACTCCATTTCAGTTTATGGGTGTCTTGTTTGGAGTCAGTCTATGGGCCTCTATATAAGCCATCATACATGTGAGTCGTTGGTGATGGGGCTGACACCATCCACTCACGACGCTTGCAGATGTCGGTTGAACCATTTCCCAATCCGTTGACGTACGTCAACATCATCAGTTTTTCTTCCGATTCCGTTGCAATGACGTACGTCAACATCATCAGTTTTTCTTCCGATTCCATTCCGATGATGTACGTCAACATCATCAGTTTTTCTTCCGATTCCGTTGCGATGACGTACGTGGACATCTTCAGGTCGGAAGACGTACCGAGGCCTCCCGCAAGGCCACGCGGGAGAGGCCGTGTGGCACAGTTTGGGCGCCAGTTATCGTCGAGTGGCGGTGGTCGTGTCGCTACAGTTCTCTGCGGTGATTAACGACGTCTTTAAAAGCTAATTGAACGCAGAGCCGCGTGCGCGTTCAGAGATTCAGCGGTGATCTCCCACCCTAAAACTTGAAGATGTCTCGGAACGTGAAAGGGTTTATCAGCATGCTTGGGTTCATTTTTCTTTTTTTTATTTGACCAGGGCTCGCGCCCCACTTTAATCCCCAAGCCGAACAGACGGAACTCAGCAGCGCCGGCTCACCATCTTCAACCCCACCGCCCCCCCCCACCCCGTCCCACGCCACTCGGCCACCTCAACACAACCCTCGCCAGCTCCCGCGCTGACCCTTGACCCCCCCCCCCCGCGAGACGGCCGCCCCCTGTCAGCGCGCGACCCTGGGCACCGCTCCCCCCCCCCACGTACCAGAGGTCACAAACGGGTTTTGATTCCTTACCCGTACTCGGCCACATCAGGGTCGCAAACGGGTACCCGTACCCGGCCGGGTATCGGGTACCTGTACCCTACCCGATACCCGGCCGGGTACGGGTAGCCGGGTATTGGGTAGGGTACGGGTATCGGGTACCCGATTGCGACCTCTGGGATGAAGCCATGTTGCAGGAGCGGGTGGGTTGATTCTAGGAACTTGAATTGTGAGAAGAGACAAGACGTTGGGAAATGAGTGACAAACGGTTACTCACCATATTCTTAGCTTTTTTCGGTAAAGTCACGTAGGTAAAAATTTTTTAATTAATCAAAGTAAAATAAAAGTAAAATAAAAATAAAATAAAAATCACGACGTTTCGAAGGCAACACAAGCTTCCGTCTTCAGTGACTCATGGTCTACCCGTACCCGTACCCGGCCGCACCAGGTTCGCAAATGGGTACGGGCAGCCGGGTATCGGGTAGGGTACGGGTATCGGGTACCCGATTGCGACCTCTGCCACGTACCGACGTTGTCGGCGGCGACGGTGACGTTGTCGGGGTGCAGGAGGTGGTCGGCGAGCACAAACGCCGCCTCCTCCACCGAGTCGGCGAGCAGCGTGGCGGTGTGCGCTCGCTCCGTGCCGTTCATGTCGCGCCACGCCCACACGGCATCCTCACGCAGCAGGTTGCTCACCACCTCCACCACCGCCTGCGTCCGTGCCGGGGGCGACGCACGCACGCATGCAGCACGCACACACACGCAGCACGCACGCACACGCAGCACACATGCACACGCAGGACACAGACGCAGCACACACACACGCAGCACATACACACACATGCAGCACACACACATGCAGCACACACAGCACACACACGCAGCACACACACACGCCACACACAGACACACGCAGCACACACACACACGCAGCACACGCAGCACACACACACGCACAGGCAGCACACGCACGCAGCACACGCACGCAGCACGCAGCACACACACGCAGCACACACACGCAGCACACACACACGCAGCACACACACACACGCAGCAGGTTACTCACTCGCCGCCTCCTGGTCCATCGTTAAGCGGGAGGGAAGCGATGACGCTTGCCCGGTGACGATGGCGATGACAGTAGCGGTGACATTAGTGGTGACGGTGGAGAGTGGTGGTGTAGCGGTTAGCACGCTGCACTATGAACCCGGCGACCCGGGTTCGATTCCCGTTCACGGCCAATACCAGTGACGATTATCTGAACCGGTCCCGGGCCTCCCCTAGGTCGACTCAGCCTCAAATGAGTACCCGGTGCGGTGTGTAAACATCGCCACTGGAGAGACAACGGCGGTCGGGCGTGGTGCTGGCCACCCACTCCCTCGTGTACCGTTCTGGCCTTCATAGGTGCTCGCTAACAGCACTTGCCCCTACAGTCTGTTAAGGCTATACGGGGGATCTTTGTCTGACGGGAGCGGGTGACAGTAGCAGTGACGTTATTGGTGGCAGTAGTGGCGATCATTTTGCTGGAGACGCTGCTGAGGGTGGAGGGGGGGGGTAGCCCCCAACTACAGGGAGCTACCGGGGGGGGGTGGGTAATGGAGCGACCCCCTCTCGAGGGTAGCGGGGCTCCTAAGCTGTGTGTCGCCAGCCCGCAAGGCCGTGAGAGAGAAGCTGTCCGCAAGCTTCGTTTGTGAAGCGTTCGTGGGCTCGGAACCGCGGGCTCTCCCGACGGTATTTGGCCTACTCTTCCACAAAGGCAACGTTTATTGGAAGAGGGTGGGAAGTTAGCCACATTTTACCACCACTACCACCACCGCACGTGAACTGCCAATCGGCGAATTGTGGCGCGCCCGCCTTGTACCGCTGGGCTGGCCAGAGGCAGACGGCGATGTGGGGAGGGGGGGGGGTATTTAATAAACTTGACCCCATTGTTTCAACTGCCGCACCGGGATATGGAATCGAATCGGCGGTGGCGGCGGAAAGCGTCCAATTCGAAAACCCGGTCACGTCGAGGACAAGGAAGAACAACCACGCGCACGCACGGACGCGCCGTGCGCACGCGTGTTGTTGGACTTCTCTCGAGCCACGTGCGTCGCCAACCGTTCCAGTCGACAACCGCGTCACGTGCCGCCCAAACAACAGATGAGATGACATCGCGGTTGTTTTCCCCCGGCACGCAGCGCAGGAAGGACGCGGCGCATGCCAACAAAACAACAACTCACTCAAGCACATGCAAACCTCGCCCGAGTAACAAACACAAAACACCGCGGCAGGACCACGAGGAGCGGGGTGGGGCGCACGCTTTTCGCGAATCTTTCCGAGGACGTCGAGCAAGCAAGACACTGCCGTGTACAGGTTGCACGAACGCACGCACGCATGCAGGGTCACACCCAGAGCGGTGGAGCAAAACGGGCAATTTGCTCTACGCTAATACGGGGAAGGGGGGGGCGGAGGGGGCCCACACATGCGGCAATCTGCCCCCGGGGCCTCCAGAAACCTCTGGAACGAACCTGCGCACACGTGCAAGCTTTTAGACGCGTAAACAAAAAGTCGAGAGTAGCCGTTCTGGGAGTGGGGGCGGCACGCAACTCAAAACACAAACATGCGAAACATCACGATGTAGGGTCCCCTCCGTATGGCTGTGGAGAGCGCTGAGGGGGTGGGGTGGGGAGGCTGTGAAGGCACACATACGTCACGGCCCCACAGCCGTCGTCACAGGGCAGGGGAACGTTTATTGGGCGTCGTCGTCGTCCATGCAGCGACGTGACAAGACGACACGGCGGGCCATGCACGCGATCGCGGTGCCGTCGAAGGCGGGGGGGAGGGGGGGGTGATGAAGGGAGGCCCCCGAAGCGGTGAGGAGCAACCCCAAACAAACGCAGCGCACTTCGGTTTAAATCGCGGGGGGCGGATGGACGATTGGACCCACGATTCGAACCCAGGGTCTCAGCGGCGGTGGCTCAGTGACTTTGACACTGCAGCCAAAAGCGGCCACCTCTAAATACTACAACAACGTTTTGCCTAATTCTAGATTTGAAGCTTTCGTGACTGCAAGGATTCATATTCTTAGGTTTTTTCGGTAAAGTAACGTAGGTAAAAAATTAATTTAATAAAAATAAAATAAAAATCACGACGTTTCGGAGGCAACACAAGCTTCCGGCTTGTGTTGCCTCCGAAACGTCGTGATTTTTATTTTTATTTTATTAATTTTAATTTTTTACCTACGTGACTTTACTGAAAAAAACCTAAGAATATGAACGTTTTGTCTTTCCGCTTCGTTCAGCTATCACTGGTGGCCAGGTTACTTCTGAAAAAAAAAGCTACTACATTTCGATTTAAAGCTTTCGTGACTGCAGGGATTCATCTTCTTGGTTCTTTCGGTAAAGTCGCGTAGAAGGGAAATAATAAAATAATAAAAATAAAACATAATAATATAATTCTCACGACGTTTCGGCCACAACGCAAGCAGCCGTCCTCAGGTGAAGAACAGGTCTGTCGGAAAGACAGCATCTGAATGAACACCACCAAGAACACCATTCAGACGCTGTCTTTCTGACAGACCTGTTCTGCACCTATGGACGGCTGCTTGCGTTGTGGCCGAAACATCGTGAGAATTATTTTATGATGTTTAATTATCATTCTTTTATTATTTCCCTTCTACGTGACTTTACCGAAAGAACCAAGAAGAAGAGTGCAAGTCTTTATTCGTATACTTTAGAAAGTGATTCGTCTACTTTTCCGCTTTGCACTCCAATCGTGCTTTCGCAATTGTTCAGTCGTCGTAACGTTCGTGACAAAGCGCTTCATAGGCTCATCGGATTCCTCCTCTAGCGTAACAAAAATAAAAAATTCAGATTCCGATCCCTTGACCTCTGGAGCCCCACCACCAACCACATCGTGCGCCAACGCCGTTTGTCGTTACCCCCACCCCCCCCCCACTTGACGGAGCAGACCGACGGCGCGGATACCGATACCTTGATGTACGCTTGGCAGAGCCCATCCCTCATCTTTAGCTGAGAGTGAAGAGATTGGGGGGGAGTAAAGAGGAGTTGGGGGGGGGTAAGGGGGAGGAGGGGGGTGGCATTATAAAAAGACACCGCGTGATTTCCAGACTCGCACACAGTAACCGTCGCCTGTCGAGCAATCGGCTTTTTTTTGCCGGCTATACCCGGTTTCCGTTTGACCCGGGCCGGTTTGTCAAGCTCGCTCTCGCCGGAGTCTCTGATGCGCGTGGCCGGCCATGCAAGGTTGTGCTTCACGACGCGACCTGGAGCGTGCTCGACGGAGCATGGAGCGGATCCCTGTGGCGTGCAGTGCATTTGCTGCACAACACGGCACGGAAGCGTGCTTGACGGAACACGGAGTGGAACACTGCGTGTCGTACAAAGCACCCATCGCGACACGGCACGGAGCGTGCTTGACGGAACATGGGAGCGGAGCCCTGTGGCGTGCAGTGCATTTGCTCAACAACACAGCACGGAGCGTGCTTGATGCAACATGTAGTGGAGCCTGGTGTGCACTATGCAACGTGCACACCACAATACAGCATGGAGCAGGATTGATGTGATGTGGAGCCCAGGAAGGTACCCACCACAACAAGGCTTTATAACAGAACATGGAGCGAGCCGCTGTCCACCATGCAATGTATGCACCCTAACGTGTAGCCTGTGCAATGCATGCATTACTACATGTCACTGAGCGTGGATAATGGAACACGGAGCAGAGCACGTGTGCTCTACAGGCAAGGTGCACACCACAACGTGGAATGGAGCGTACTTCATGGAGCTTGGATCGGGGCACACTGCACTGCGCGAGGCGCGCACCAAAACACGGCACGGAGAAAAAGTTAGATGGAACCGGTTTCCAGAGTTTTCACCGCGTGAACCAAAATCTGCCGCGAGGCGTCGGTCCAGAGGCCCGCGGATCGGCCGACGGACCGAAAAACACATGTCGCTTTCACGTGCAAAGCTGGGCTCCTTGTCCGTGTGTTCGATTATTCATCGGTCACCCACGTGGGCCTCTGCGATGGTCGCCAAATGCTTGGCTCTGGACGGATCGCGGCGCGCCGATCCGTCAATGGCGGCGTGCGACGCTCTCGCGATTCTGCGATCGAGGGGTGCGCGCGTGCGCTCAACGGACGGGGCGTTTTGCCGCGCGGCTCATACGAGGCGGACGTCAGCTCCCATTGGACGCCGACAGCCTCACAGCGGCGCGACGTCACCAGAGCCCCCCCCCCCCCCCGGCTCGGCAAAACGAGCGAATCGAGGGGCCGTTCCCATGAAGGTACCGGGGGACACGCGGCCGTCCCCTCTCCGCGAAATGGCTGGATTCTGACACCGTCAGCTCCTGTTACGATGGGCTCTGGTGCTAACAAGCCGTTGGGCAGAAAAGCGCAACAATTTGACTGACGAATTGGTTGGTTTTTATTTTAGTTTGGCTCGATCTTCCTCGCTCGTTCGGAGCCCATTCGCTCCGTTCACCGGAATTCAACTGCGGCCCCCGAATCGTTCACCGAAGAGGAGGGAGTCACCAATGCGCGCATCCAGTCGTGCGAACAAATAGGCGATTGTAGCCAACCGTGCTAATCAGAGGTGCGGGGGAAAAGAACAACAAACTATGGGTCTCTGTGCGAGTCGATGGGCCTCTGTGTGAGTCTTTGTGCGTATGCATGTGGAACTTATTCGCACCGTACGTAGCCAACCGTGCTAATCGGAGGTGCGGGGGGAAAGGATAATGAACTATGGGTTTCTGTGCGAGTCGATGGGCCTCTGTGCGAGTCTTTGTGTGTATGCATGTGGAACTTCTTTGCACCTAACGTAGCCAACCGTGCCAATCGGAGGCGCGGGGGAAAGGACAAACAGCCGCTCTTCCCAGATCTGGGTCAGATTCTATGGATGGCGGCAGCAGCGCAATCCCAGGAGGGGGATCGGGACCTTGAGTTGGCGTTGCGGTACATTTCAGAGGGTATTGATAATAATAATGCAGCAATTAAGACGATGCGTTCACACGTGGTGCTCCCCTTCTTCCGGTATGGGTGAAAGATTCTTCTTGCCATGCTCTATCCCCAGCGTTACATTGCAGCGTGAGAGCGGGCGGCGACGCCGGCGCAAGGCGGCGAGTCGTTTCGGCAAAAAGCGCTCGCTCGACGCTGCACGAAAGGGAGTCGCGTAAATAGAAAAAACACATTTTGGCAAAAATCCTATTAAAGTTACATTACAGTTGAGATTAATAAACGCAAATGGGATACATTAATCCATAATAGGATTAAGGCGCCGTCTGTCGTCGCGCATCGCAGATCCCGTGATTTATAAGCGCGCGTCGAGATTTAAACTCGGTGATGAACGACATTTAGAAGCCGACAGCCGCCGCCCGCATAATTATGGGCACCGTTCGGTGCTCAACCCGGTGCGTGGGCGCATTCGGAAAGAAAGTCAACCGTGCAACGCCGCCAACGCCGCCACCGCCGCCGCCGCCGCCGCCGCCGCCGCACGCTTCCCTAAACTAGCACAGCTAAGTCCGCCATTTTGGCCTCGGCCTAGTCAAGGCTTCAAAAGAATGATTGTGGTTTGAGCGGTCGGCTCGCAATCGCCAGGCCGCGTGTCGACGCCCCAACCAAATACCGGTTGGGTGGCCGGGGGGGGGGGGGGGATCGACTGAGTCCATCGTCGTCATCGCCACCATCGCCACCATCGCCATCCCTTATGGTGATGAAAGGGACTTAGAACGAACAGAAACGATGACTTGAAACAGTAGGCCATCACGTGACCGCCACAAAAATGAAGCCGTCGGCCACATGCGGGCCGCATCCGGGCCCCCGTCCGCCCTTCACACACAGCTACGGAGGAGACCTTCAATCACCATCATCGTGGTGGTGGTGTTTTTGTCGGTCGCGTGCCGTGCAACACAGCACCATTTCCAGCCTTGGTTGACGGCCATATCCGGCCATACCCGGGACCATCCATCGGGCCACTCCGCGCTCTAAAGGTCACAACGACCCCAAGCGCCCGCCCGCCCCCCCTAGCAAAGCCGAGCGGCGTGTGGATCTCGGGATGCGGCCGGGTACCTTGTTGAAGGTGCGTGTGGACGACTCCTTCTCGGTGGGCGTCAGCTCGAGCAGCTGCGCGTCCAGGATGTCCACCAGCTGCTCCATGAGCTTCACCGAGGAGCTCACGTCGCCCGCGTACACGGGGTCGCGCGTCTGTCGCGCCAGGTCGCTCGCCACCGTAGCGGCGTTCTCGCGGCTCTTGATCTGAGCGACGCGGGAGGGGGAGGAAGAGGGAGGACAGAACGGTGAGGGACAACGGTGGGGGGGGGGGGGAAACAAGAGTTATCTAATTAAATAATCGATTTGCTGGGATCACGATCAGGCATACAGACGGAGTGATCGGGGAGCAAATGCAAATCAGAGACACCGTCATATTGCCTGTTAAGAAAAGTAATGACTCAGAAGACAAGTATTGACTGTTAGAACAAGTATTGACGATTAGAACAAGTATTGACTGTTAAGTGGAGCAATGGGTAAAAATAACAGCACACGAAGGTGTGCCGCTCACAAATGAAGGCACGACTCCCATCATGCATTGCGTGCAGATCACGTGACCACCGTGACGTGCACGCAGGTGCACGTGCGATGCTCTCAGCCTTGTCTAGACCACCGGCTCAGACTAGAGCCGAAAGAGTGGCTGTATTAGGTTTGCTATCCATTATCGTTTAGCCGGCTCAGTTTTTCTTCTATTTTGATTCGCTTTCTCATCATTCACACAAGACGTTCGATTTCGATCGAAGTGGACGAATGGGCTCGGTGACGGACGCCATCTACCGGACAGAAATTATGTCCGGACGATGAGCGACAGCCGGGCGACGGAACGGCAGCCGCGGAGATGGAGCGGATGAGACGAGTTCACGCGCGTGGGCGAGATGGGGTCGTGGGCATCGCGACGGCCGCGACGACTCCATTGATATCTCGCACGGGGGAAGGGAGAGGGAGGCAGGGAGGCGATGGCTCACCCGTTGCGCGATTTGGTTCACCCAGGGGGAAGTGCAGTTGCTGAAATCGGGACCTCGGGCAGACCAGACTCCCGTGATGGCATCGCAGGTGTAGAGCGCCGTGCCTGGTGTGTGCACACAAAGACAAAGATTCCCCCGTGTAGCCTTTGAACAGACTTTTCTGGGCCAAGTGCTGTTGGCGAACACCTATGAAAGACGGCACGGCAGATGATGGGGTCGGTGGCCATCCACCACGGCCGGCCGCCTTCGTTTCTCAGGTGCCGTTGTTTACAAAGCTTACCATGTTACTATTAAACTATTAAACGTATTTATTATCTTAACAGGTGCCCACTGAGCTGTATAGGCATTTTTCAGAAGTAACCTGGCAACGAAGTGGCTTATCGTGCGGAAATGTACAGCAGCAGCCAAATAATCAAAACACGTGATGACGATTCTAAATGTGGAGGGAAAAACCGGAGGACCCGGAGAAAAATCCATGCGGCCACAGGGGAGTGAGACATGCAAACTTCAAATACGCATTCGTCAGGGTTAGGATCGAACCCACGAACTCCTGAGTACCAGGCGAGATGGTTAACCTCTAGACCACGGGGTAGCCCAGGGTAGGTTCATATATTCGGAACCAATGTTGGCCATGAGTGCGAATCAAACTCAGTTCACTGGTGTTCATAGCCACGATGCTCCTGCTCCCCCAACATACACGAATTTACAATCACACTACAGACACACACACACTCTCACATATAATCAATATGCAATCACACACATTTACATATACAAGAAGGCACACACATTTACACACGCAATCAATACGCAATCATACACATTTGCATATATAGGTAATCATTTTAGTCTGAGTTGACCTAAGGGATGCCCAAGACACGGTCATATATCAATCGCCGCTGATGTCGTGGCTGGAAAAATCCAATTCAGGTCGCCGGGTTCGAAGCTCGGTGCGCTAACCACGCGCACACACACACGGCGTGTACACAAACACCCACAAAAACGCACGGGTGCATACAATCACACACGTTCAACAACAACAACAACAACCTGCCATTCGCCACTAAGTGGCTGGTGACGTCACCACGACGCTTGTGCCAGGCCATGTGCACCTTGAGGCCACGTGAAGTGTCGAACGCCCGCTGGCAGGAGGTCACGGGGCAGACCCAGCAGGTGCCACGGGTCGACTGACTGAGATGACCGAGACGACTGGCTGATGCACCACCTGTGCCCCCTACTGTGCCAACTTGCTGTGCATTAGCCACCCGGCGCTCCGCTCGTTGTTGTGAGCACACACGTGCACACACACACACAAAGACAAAGATCCCTCTGTAGCCTAGATAGGCCATTGGAGAGCAATTACACACACCCCACCAGGTGCTCATTGAAGGCTGAGTAGGCCCAAGACGAGTTCAAGCGCCACTCGCCACTTATGTCAGTCTTGGCTGGCCGCCTTGGTTTGTAAACGCAGCGTGCGCCACCGCTCACTACGCACATATTTCGATTGAAAGCTTTCGTGACTGCAGGGATTCATATTCTTGGTTCTTTCGGTAAAAGTCACGAAGAAGGGAAATAATAAAGGAAAAAAAAATAGTGGGTTTTAAAATTATTGTATTATTTCCCTTCTACGTGACTTTACCGGAAGAACCAAGAATACACACACATATTGCACACACACCTATAAAGATCCCTCCTGTGTCTTCATAATAGAATTTCGGGGCAACCGAGTACCTATGATAGCCGGCACGGCACAAGGGGAGGGGGGCTGGTGGGTGATCAGCACCACGCCCAACCTCGTTTGTCTCCCCAGTGGCGATGTTTACACCGCACCGGGTACTCAATTGAGGCTGAGTCGACCTAGGGGAGGAGGCCTCAGGACCGGTTCAGATAATCATCACCGGTGTTGGCCGTGAGCGGGAAACGAACTGGAGTCGCCGGGTTCGTAGCACTACCCGCTACACTACCGCTCCCCACACATACGCACGTACAAATATACACTCGCATTCATAAATACAAACACACACACAGACAAACACACATTCACAAAAACACACGTAGACGCAAACACTCACAAACGCACGCACACACACACACACACCCACGCCTCACTCGGACAACATTAAACTCAAAACATTCCGTGCATCAAATTCCTCTCACCGTGCCAAATTTTTAATCCTATGGAATTTCCGACGGCGTCGCTCGGTGAAACCCGGGAAAAAGTCTGCAGCGGGAGTGCTTTTCGTTTGGGTCTCGGCATCGTTTTCAGGTTGCACGTATGCGGGCTTTGACACGTAGGCTTTCGCGACCAATATAATTCGCAGTAAAGGTTTCTAGTTCGTTTGGATTAGATCGCGTAAGTGTCAACGCGCGTCGTTAGCCCGCCACGAACGCGACACGGTCAAGCGTAGGAAGTCTCGTCACGTGCACAAAACGTGCCAGTGAGTTGCTACTTCAAGCCCACCACGTTGCGTGTTGGAGAGTAAATCCACAACATGCATGATTAGAGCAAAGTGACGTTTCGCTGGTGATTACGTATGTGCGTGCAGTTCTTTCGCACCGTACGTTAGCCAACCGTGCTAAAATCGAAATGTTCCCCCCCGCGTCTCCCCCTCCACTCCACGTGTCTGCGGCACCGTAATCTCGCTGGAGCGAGCGGCGGTGCAGCGGTTAGCGCACCGTGTCGGCCTCGATAAGCGCTCGCCAACGGCGAGGCCAGCTTTAACCCTGCGCGCCCCGTTCTGGCCGAGGAGGTTTTCATCTCCTGGACGTCTGCGCAAAAGAGCTTCGTGGCCCATCGGATTTTCTCCGGGATGAACAGAGACTCCAGATTTCCGAAGATTCTGATTCTGCGTGGAAATGGGTTGCGCGCGCTGTGATACGAACCCGTGTATCATTACGGCGCGCGCAGCGATCATCTGGTCGGGAGTGATATCTAAACCGGCAATGGCTGATTACCAATCCTTCACCAATGTCCACTGACCAGCGTGGTGAAGTATAGTCAAACCAACATAGTGTGTCGATCACGGGGGGTTGTTCATCCAGCAGTGGATTGAGAAAGGCCTGTACATGAGCTATGATATGATACAATGAGCTGGCTGGGTGGGGCTCATTGGTCATAGCACGTGACTCACAGTTGAAAGGTCAGGAGTTCAAGTCCATGTTGTGATGGTTAACCAATTATCGACATCCATGGGGATTAAAAAAAAAAACAGGTACTGCTTCGTGGAAATGAAACACCTCTTATTGTTTTGCCAAGTCATAACCTGCTCCCTGCCACAGTAACGTGGAATTTCCACCGCCAGCTCTACAATCCCCTGCACCTCACGCTCGCTTGAGCAGGCGGCTAAAATTGGTCTTCGGCTTAAGAGGACCTTGCAACGTCGCATATGCAACTCTGTGGGGACTGAGGTATGGGGTGGATACGTGAAAAGGTCGGATATGCTGACATCGATAGAGAATGACAGTTCCATCACGCTTCGCAAACCTGTCAACCCCTTATCAGTGCCCCTACCTTATTGCAGACAAACCCAGACCTTGTTGGTTACCCCGTGCCCCTGACGAATCTCAACGTTCATTGTACATCACAAGGGAGAAACACAAACAAATAGACAAAAAAAAAACACATTCCTGCGGAGGGAGCTAGTAGGAACGTTGGGTGGCTCGGTCAATGGCCAGGGTCAACGGCGGCGTGGTGTATTCCGCAAATTTTGGCGACTGTGAGGGCGGGCACAAGCCGGCGTGAGTAGGTTAAACGTTGAGTTTTATAAGGGCACCACGGGGTGACCAGCCCCTCCCCACCCAGCCCCACCCCTCCCACCCCCCCACCCAGCCCCACCCTCCCCACCCCTCCCACCCCCCACCCAGCCCCACCCCTCCCACCCCCCACCCAGCCCCACCCCTCCCACCCCCCACCCAGCCCCACCCCCTCCCACCCCCCACCCAGCCCCACCCCTCCCACCCCCCACCCAGCCCCACCCTCCCCACCCAGCCCCTCCCCACCCTCCCCTCCCCACCCAGCCCCTCCCCACCCTCCCCTCTCCACCCAGGCCCCACCCCTCCCATTTTTGGATTCACGACGGACGGACGGACACAATAATCCCCTGTGGGCTGGTGGAACCAGGAGGTTCCTACCAGTAAAATGTTTCCCCGTATTGAAACGGCTGTTACGCAGTATAGACCTGAAAGTTCAATTTACCATGGCCAAGTATACAGGTAAACCGTATGGGTTGACAGGTCTGGCACTGTGCGTGCTGCACTGGGTGGGGGCGGTTAACTGGTCCATGACGATGCGTGACGATGAGAGACGTGTCGATGTACTGCATCGGTGAGTTGAATTTTTCCGGCTCTCAATGCCGAGGCGATAGGTTCAACGGTGGGCCAACGTTGAATGTTTACTGGGAGCACAGCCTGACAATCACCAACATCACCACCACGATACCATCACGATCACCATCAACATCATCATCACAATCATCACGATCATCACCATCACTGCCACCGCCATCACGATCATCGCCACCAACATCACCATCACGATACCATCACGGTCACCATCATCATAACAATCATCACGGTCATCGCCACCAACATCACCACCATCATCACCATGACCACAATCATTATCACCATCATCATCATCACAATCATCACGATCATCACCACCGCCATCACGATCATGGCCACCAACATCAGCCCCACCACCACCACGATACTATCATGATCACCATCATCATCATCATCATCACAATCATCACGATCATCACCATCACTGCCACTGCCATCACGATCATCGCCACCAACATCACTACCATCATCATCATCACCATGACCACAATCATTATCACCATCATCATCATCACGATCATCATGATCATCCCCATCACTGCCACCGCCATCACGATCCATCGCCACCAACATCACCATCCACGATACCATCACGGTCACCATCATCATCATCACAATCATCATGATCATCACCATCACTGCCACCGCCATCACGATCATCGCCACCAACATCACCACCACGATACCATCACGGTCACCATCATCATCATCACAATCATCACGATCATCACCATCACTGCCACGGCCATCACGATCATCGCCACCAACATCACCACCACCACCATCATCACCATGACCACAATCATTATCACCATCATCATCACAATCATCACGATCATCACCATCACTGCCACCACCATCACGATCATCGCCACCACCACCACCACCATCATCACCATGACCACAATCATTATCACCATCATCATCATCACCGCCCCTTCCGGCTGGCAATATAAGAACCATGTGTAACATGTGGTTCTGAGCAGTTCAATGTGGGATGCGATAGTTTTTTGTTTTTATTAAGAACAGACTTGAACCCTATAGGAATGTGGAATTTCAAACCACTGGCAGCGTAAGAAACAACTTGGTGAGAATGTCGCCTGATGAAGCTGGCTGTAATTACTGGCGAAACGTCACGGAACTCAGATTGTAAATGTCGTGGCTTGGCTCTCCAACACACAACTGGCGTGCTGTACTAGTATACTACACTATACACTACACTATACACTACACTATACACTACACTATACACTATGCTACTATACACAATACACTACACTACTATACACTACACTATAGACTATACACTACACTACTATACATAATACACTACACTACTATACACAATACACTACACTACTATACACTATACTACCATACACTACACTACTATACACAATACACTACTATACACTACACTATACACTACTCCCCACTACACTAGATACTACACACTACACTATACACTACACGACTATACACTACACTATACACTACACTACTATACACAATACACTACACTACTACACACTACACTACACTACCATACACAATACACTACACTACACACCACACTACACCGGCGTGCTGTACTAGTGACGAATTGTCCACATTCCGTTTACGTGACAACCCCCTTACTAGTTGGCTGTGTCGAGTGGTGGCGGGTTTTAACGACACATTTATATATTTACGCGATCTAACCCCAAAAAACCCCTCTATCATTGGTGAGAATGTGTGCGATTGGATGTGCGTTTCCCACGTGATATCCTCAAGGCAACGTTGTTGAGCGGGGCTTGAGCTCCACACCCCATCTTGCCACGTCTCACCACCTCCCCCACCCCACAAAGACAAAAGAACCCCCGCGTGTAGCCTTTAACAGACCGTTGGAGCAAGTGCTGTTAGCGAGTAGCAGCACCTATGAAGGCTGTCACGGCACACGAGGGGTGTGGGTGGCCAGCACCACGCCCGGCCGCCTTTGTTTCCCGAGTGGAGATGTTCACACATCGCTCCGGGTACTCATTTGAGGCCGAGTCGACCTAGCGGAGGCCCAGGACGAGTTGAGATAATCGTCACTGGGTGTTGGTGGCCGTGAGCAGGAATCGAACTCGGGTCGCCGGGTTCGTAGCGCAGCGTAGCGCTAACCGTTGGACTTCCGCTCCCGACCCCCCCACAGACGGGATGTACCGACACAGACTTAGACAGTGAGACAAAGGGAGACGAGTAGGAGGGGGGGGAGGATACAGAGAGAGCGAGAGACAGAATGGAGACAGACAGCCGGAGAGAGATAGACCGAGAGGCAAAAAAAGGAAAAAAATACAGAGATAAGGTGACGGAGATAAACAGGCAGAGAGATAGACAGAGAGGGGTCTAGAGACATGAGAGCATGGGACACAAAAACGGAGACGGAGGTGACAGGGACAGGGAGAGCACACACACAGACATATACACAAATACATAGAAATGAAGAAAGATATAGACACAGCCATAGGAGAGACGTGAGAGAAACAGACACGCAGATAGAGACACTGATACAGAGGAAGATATGGGAAACAGAGACACGGATACAGAGCAGAGGTCGCAATCGGGTACCCGATACCCGTACCCTACCCGTTACCCGGCTACTCGTACCCGGCCGGGTACGGGTACGGGTACCCGTTTGCGACCCTGGTGCGGCCGGGTACGGGTACGGGTAGACCGTGAGTCACTGGTGAGTAACTGTTTGTCACTCATTTCCCAACGTCTTGTCTCTTCTCACAATTCAAGTTCCTAGAATCAACCCACCCGCGCCTGCAACATGGCTTCATCCCAGAGGTCGCAATCAGGTACCCGATACCCGAACCTGGTGCGGAGGGTACGGGTACGGGTAAGGAATCAAAACCCGTTTGCGACCTCTGGGGTGCGCGTGTCAAGATGACAAGATGTGGGGGGGAGCGGCGGTGCAGCGGTCAGCGCTACGCTGCGCTCCGAGCCCGGCGACCCGAGTTGGAGTCCCACAACACCGGTGACGATCATCAGAACCGGTCGTGGGCCTCCCCTAGGTCGACTCGGCCTCAAATGAGTACACCTAGTGCGGTGCGTTGTAAACATCGCGAGCAGGGAGACAAAGGCGGCCGGGCGTGGTGCCGGCTCACCCAACCCCTTCCATGTGCCCTTCCGGCCTTTTATAGGTGCTCGCTAACAGCACTTGCCCCGAGTCTTTGTCAAAATGACAGCATTGCAGGAACGAGCGGCGGGCGGACTCACCGACGGTGCCCGCAGGACAGGGCCTCTCCGCCGTCTTGCCCTGCAGCAGCTGGGGCCACTGGACGGCGCGGGCGAGCGTGGGGGGACAGAATGTGGGCACGCGGGTGCCGCCCCCGCCGACGTCGGCGGGCGCCACGTCTCCCGGTTTCACGTCGGTCGTGTCCTGCGGGGGAGATGCGGCGGCAAGAGTCGAGCGCTGTCGGTTGAACCTCTTTCGCACCGTACAGAACCAACCGTGCTAATCGGAGGTGCAGTGCGCATAAATCACCGCGCCACCGCCCACCACCACCACCACCATCAGCAACAATGCCACCACAGTCGCCACGACCACTGCCCCCCGTATAGCCTTCAACAAGCTGTTGCGGAAAGTGCTGTTCGCGAGCACCTTTGAAGGCCGGCACGGCACGCCAGGGGATGGGTGGCCAGCACCACGCCCGACCGCCTGTGGCGATGTTTTTACACACCGCACCAGCTACTTATTTGAGGCTGAGTCGACCTAGGTGAGGAGGCCCGGGAGCGGTTCAAATAATCGTCACCGGTGTTGGCCGTGAGCGGGAATCGAACTCGGGTCGCCGGGTTCGTAGCGCGGCGTAGAGCTGACCGCTGCGTTAACCGCTCCCCACCACCACTACTGCCAACACCATTGCTGATACCACCACCACCGTTACCTGTGGCGGTTGCGCAGGGAATGGCGGCACCGTTGCCACGTGGCTCCGCGGAGGACTCGCGGTGCTGCCTCCACTGGAAGGCCCCATCGTCGAAATCTCGTGCACTGCATTGTGGGAAACACACACAAAAACCAACGACCATGTTGACGTCGCGGGCGCGGCCAACTAACATTTACCCAATCAACGACGGCAAGAGCAGCGACGACGGCCATTCGACACCTCCGATTGGCACGGTCGGCTACGTACGGCGCGAAAAAAGTTCAACATGCAAACGTTCACAGCCCAAGAGCAACGGCTCACAGCTACCAAACGTCCTGGATTGGCCGAACGTCCCCGGTTTCAGCAAGGCCATCCCCCCCCGGTGTCCCGAAGAGTTCAAAGTTTGTGCCGCTTCAAAGTTTTCTGGCCTCACGCTCGACCCGTGTTGGGGGGGGGGGGGGGGGGGGCTATGAGCAACGGGCGGGTGCAGCGTCAAAGACGGCCAGATAAGCGTAGTCAGCTACATAGGGTGCGAAAGAAAGTTCCAGCATACGCACACACTGCCCCGATCACTACCATCGAACAAAGTCGGTCACTGTGTGAAAAATGACAATAGGTTTCACCCCTTTGCGGCGATAAAACAGGAGGTGTTCAAATGTTCAAATACCAAATAGATATATCCTTTGCAATAAATCAAGTCTGCAATAATCACACACGGTACTTGCGGTGAACATGCAAACAAACATGCTCCGATAATATATGCATTGTCTTTTAAACTTATTGGCCTACAACAGAAACAGCAGACTTCTTCTCTGGTGTAGGCCAATCAGTGTGGTTAATGCAGTAACTTGATTCCTTGCAAAAAGGTTTCTATTTGGTGTTTGACATCTCAACACAACTCCGGTTTTATTGCCAGAAATGGTCCAACACCGATTCTTGTTTTAATGTTGGCCGTGAGTGAGAATCGAACTCGGGTCGCCAGATTCATAGCGCAGCGCGCTAACTGCTACACCACCGCTCGCCATACACACACGCACACACACAAAGACAAAGATCCCCCCGTATAGCCTTAACAGACTGTAGGGGCAAGTGCTGTTAGCGAGCACCTATGAAGGCCGGAACGGCACATGAGGGGGTGGGTGGCCAGCACCACGTCGACCGCCTTTGTCTCCCCGGTGGCGATGTTTACACACTGTACCAGGTACTCATTTGAGGCTGAGTCGACCTAGGGAAGGCCCGGGACCGGTTTAGAAAATCGTCACTGGTGTTGGCCGTGAGCGGGAATCGAAGCCGGGTCGCCATGTTCATAGCGCAACGCACTAACCGCTACACCACCGCTCCCCACAGACACACAGACACACACATACAGACACACACACAGACACACTTCACACTCAACATAGAGCCCAGTCCTGAATCACACCCTGGTCATACTGGACATCTTTACTGGACACCTGTGAAAAGAAGCTTCATAGCACACACATCGGATTTCTCGAGATTCTCACACGGACACACACACACACGCACACAGACGCCCTTGGCACACACCACGCACAGCGCAGTCCCTGCATCGCACCCCTTATAGCAGGAAGAGCGAGGTGTGAGCGAGCGAGCGAGCGAGTGAGCGAGCGACCGTCAGAGCCGAGTTTAGTTGGTGTAAGGCTGCCGTCGAGATGCCACCGGGGAGCATAATAACGCGGCTGGCGTGAAATTAAAGTGCACAGCTGCGGTGTGGAATTAGCCTAATGACGAAGCAATGGGAGCTGTCGGGAGGAGCTGGGCATTTGCTTGGCTTCCACGGCAGCAGCATGCTCTCGATTATAGACGCGCGCCGGCCTTTGCTCCGTCCGGAGTTTTCGTATCCGCTCGTCGGCTGTGCCACGGCGTTCGTCGTACGTGGAACGGCGTCGCATCTACCCCCTTGCGTAAAAACATCGGTGGGGGGCAGGGGGCAGGTCCCCTCCCCTTCTCCTCTCCACCCTCCCCTTCGTCCCCCTCGCTGCCTCGACTCCCTTGCTGAAGTTCTTCCACCCTCACCTGCCTCTCCCCACGTGAATGTAAACATGTAACCCCGGCGCTCGGTCTCCACTCGGCAGGGTGGCGGCAGCAGCAGCAGCAGCGGCGAGTCGCCCAATCTCCCTCCACCAAAACCCCCCCCCCATCAGGTGCTCGGGACTTGTGCCTGCGGAGTTTCTGTACCACTCCCTCCTCCGCCACCCACAACCCCACAGCGCCACTACGTCGCGGTTTGTGCTCTGTGCCAGGCTCCAGCTGAAATGTAAAACATAAAAAAAAACGGCGGAGTGGGGGAGCAGGGGCGCTGACCTGTACTGTATGGACCCCGAGGTCAATACAGTATAACTGACATAGCGACGACACCTACGGCGGACTTCTTTCGCGCCGTACGTGGCCGACCGCGCGAATCGCAGGTGCGGGGCGGGGGAAGGACAACGAACTAAACACAGGAAGCAGTTCTCGAGAAATTAGTTTTCAATCGAGATGATTTAGAAGTGCATAGCCTCAGTGGCTTCCTAACATCGAAAGGAGGAGCGTTCCAGACGGCCGCAGAAGCGCATCTGAAACGTCGTGATGCGGTGGCCACCGTCTTTGTTCGATGGCCTCGTCAAAATCTGCTGCTGCGAAGATGACCAGAGTTCACATGTGATGGTTTAAATGCGACCGCATCTCCAGATTTTTCACATGCGGGAAGTGGAGCGGGGGTGGGGGGTGGAGGAAATGTGCTCTCTGCACATGAATATAAATAAGTAATATAAAAAAATACTTTTTCAAAAACACGCTTTAATGAAATGTACCGTACTAGTAATGGAAGAACTCCACGACTCTGGTGGTGGGGGTCACACCCCTAGCCCGCAACTCGTGGGACGTCTTGGAACGGTGAAAGGGTTAAGACCTTGTCTCGGGCGGCCGCGTCACGCCGATGGCACAATCAGGATAAAGTTGGGTGAGGGGCGGTGGCCGGAGGGGGGGCGAGGAGGGCAGGGAGGAATGAAAGGCTGGGGAATCTGTCGCGCACCCGAGGGCCGAACAGGACTTTCAAACACCTCAGTCCATTCAAGGTTGTAAGGAAACTAGCGTACTGTAAGTGGTCACGTTTAGAATGCGTGGAGCTAGGTTTATTCCCGGCGTTTTCTATCGGGACACCGTGGGGGCTGAGCCACGGCGTGCTCCTGGAAAAGCTGCGTTTTACGGTTGTTCCGATGTCATTTTCACGAATTTTATCTAAACTATTAAAGATTTTTTTTATTTTACCAGGTAAGGCCCACTGGGCTATGTAGCTCTTTTTCAGAAGCGACCTGGCCATTACGAATGATATCTCAACGAAGTGGCTTATCTGCACTTGGAAACTGATAGCAGCCAAATACTCTGAAGGCGTTGACGTCGATTCTGAATGCGGAGGGGAAAAACCGGAGGACCTGAAGAAAAATCCACACGACCACAGAGAGAACAGGCAAACTCCAAATACACAGCTGGCGTCAGGGCTGGTTTCGAACCCACGACCTCCCACATACTCTTAGTTCTTTCGGGTAAAGTCACGTAGGTAAAAAATGAAATAAAAAATAAAAAATAAAAACAATAAAATCACGACGTTTCGGAGGCAACACAAGCTTCCGTCTTCAGGTGAAACTGTCACTTGATACAGATTTTTTTGCTGTGACAGTTTCACCTGAAGACGGAAGCTTGTGTTGCCTCCGAAACGTCGCGATGTTTTATTTTTTATTAATTTTAATTTCATTTTTTACCTACGTGACTTTACCGAAAGAACTAAGAGTATGAATCCTTGCAGTCACGAAAGCTTCAAATCTAGACCTCCCACATACCAGGCGAGATAGTTAACAACATCTCGCCACCGTTGGCGCCCCAATTGAAGAGTTCTACTCTTACGAGGTCACCCTGAGTGAGGTTTCGGTGATAGGAACGACTTGGGAGCGCTGGAATTAGAAACGCAACGCCGTTTAGCCGGTCGAAAAGCACGGCCCTCGAGTGCCCGATTAGTGCCGCTAAGATAAACTCCTCGCGGTGATGGATAGCAATCATCTGTGGTTGGCCTCATGCGGCTGTCGGCCTTGCGAAGTGAAGCCACAGGCCATAGATGGTTCCTACCTCTGGCTTAAGAGGTATTCCTACCTCTGGTCAGTTTTGAACGAGCAGCTGGATTTAATCACTCACTCCGAATGTAATTACGCTGTCCTGTGGATAGACTTGCCCCAGCCATATGAATTTGGAATTCCCACCGCTGGCTCAGGGTTGTAAACGGGAGATGAGCGCCAATGCCTCAACGCTCTTTTTGAGCACGAAAATCACTTTTGAGTCGTTATGACGAATATGAATGCAAAAGCGAGTGTCTGTTGACAGCAAACTCAACTTGGGCACTGCAGTGGCATAGATGTTAACTACCTCGCCTGGCATACAGGAGGTCGTGGGTTCGATCCCGATCCTGACCATGCCTGCTGTATCTTTGGAGTTTGCGGTGTCTCTCTCATCATCGTCATCATCATAGTTGTGAGATGTTAACTACCTCGCCTCGTATACAGAAGGTCGTGGGTTCGATCCCGATCCTGACCATGCCTGCTGTATATTTAGGGTTTGCGTGTCTCTCTCTCTCCGTGGTTGCGTGGATTGTTTTTCTCCGGGTCCTCCGGTTTTTCCCTCCACATTTAGAATGAACATCATTTTGACAGAATTTGACTGCTTTAGATTTCCACGTGACGATGATAAGTCGCTTCCGAAATAGAGTTGCATAGCTCAGTGGGCCTTACACGGTAAAATGAAAATAGTTTCGTAGTTAACAGTTTAAAGCCAAATAGAGTGGGGTGGGTGGTTGGGGGGGGGCGTTACTTTTTTCTCGTCAAGTTATTTGTAACCTGGCCTGAACCCATCACCACGCTAAACGAAGGGGCGCTCGGTTCGGGCCTAAGAGCCTCAGCGGTGCCAGCCCTTGTCATCCGACACGGCCATTACGTACCCCCCCTCAAGAGAAGGCCACCCACACCAACGCCCCGAAACACCACTCACCGACTGCCTATCGAACGGCGTAAATGCCACAATCCCACGGTAGGCCCGACGTGGTGAGGAGGCAGCGGAGAAGGACACCGGCTAGCGTGCG